AAACCTCACAAAGAGCCTTGAAAAGAGGTTTTTGGTTGGTTTTGCGATGTGCTCTTTCATATGGACAGATCAAAAAATTTTTTTGGTGCAAATGATTTTTCGGCCTGAAAACCAAGATCTTTGAAAAACGGGGCTTTCAGGTGAAAACGGGCAAAAACCATTATGATATTCGGAATCAGCATGTCCGATTACCCCTTGTCAACTAAGTTAAAGCTCAAAAGCGAGGGATCAGTCGGTGACCTTCCCTCGTCAGTTTCGTACGTAGATTACGAATATAGTATTGGTTTTGAATAGAAATTCTAAAAAATTCGCTCGATTCCTGAGGGGGACCAAGGCAAGAAGTTATGACGAAAAAACGTTTTTTCAGAAAATCACATCATTCGGTTTGGCTTTGTACGTAGATTATGAATATCATATTTATTTTTAATAACGTTTTGTAAGCAGCTACTTTTAATTGAAAAAGCTTCCTTCACTCACCCTTACTTCCTTCCCCCCTCGCAGTCATTTTTCCATTTATTATTCGCGAAGCGCTTGACCAATGAATATCATCAAACATTCTTAATCTCTTAATAAATATAAATTCATATCATTTTCGCAACCGTACAAAGTTTGTATTAAAAATAAACATGATATTCATAATCTACGTACAAAGCCAAATCGAATGATGTGATTTTCTGAAAAAACGTTTTTTCGTCATAACTTCTTGCCTTGGTCTCTACCCACTTTCGTTACAGTTAAGCAAATAAAATTTCGATTAATAGAATCGTTCGTGAAGGTTGTTTTATGTAATTTTTCGATTCACTATACGTTGTAAATTCGTTCAGAAAAAAATCTATGAATTGTTTATTCCATGGCTTAAAGTCAATCAAAATCGTTTACCGGTTTTTCTGTGTTGCACTGTAATGCAGAAACGTGTGTGACAGTTTATCATATTAATAGCTTTTTCTATGTGATTATTATATAATAAAATGAGGATGCAAAAGATTTATTCAGTTATTTATTTCCAGTTACGTCGAGTGCATGTTTGGATGTTAACATGGTTTTGGTGTTCTTCCTATACAAAGTGTTGTTTCTAACATTGGGATGTTTCAACGTGTTATTCTAGACACCAATCTTAGTTGCCTGCAAGACCGTCTCCCTCCCACCTCTTCCAAATTCTTCACGCACTGAGAAATCCACAGTTTTACCTTGCCATGGAGACCGTCCAAAAGAAATCGCCTCCTCCCCATGAAAAAATCCTAGATCCGCCACTGATCGCTACCATGGTCTTGCATCCACTCGTTTAAAAAAATACTAAAAGATTCTTTTTTGTGTGTAATGTATACAATCGATACATTTCTTTTATTGAAATAAAATACTTTGAGAGAAAACGAAAGAAGAAAGAACAATTGCGAGTATTCCACATTAGGCATCTAGCAAAAAAGGAAATATCTCTTCTCGCACAAGATATGCCTGTGCAAACATTGCCACACATGTGACGTAAACAAGAACGAGGACGAAAAGGAGAAGCAAAAGAAAGTGGAGAGCAGAGTTGCCAGATGCTCAGATCAGAAATGCAGAAAATTGCGGAAAAATTTGTCAGAATGCGGAAATAAACCGGAAACCCATTCTCATGGTCTGACTTCATCCTTTTTCACGCGCAGAGAGTCAAACAATGTTTTCTCTAGCACTCTGTGGTTTTACTTAACAAAACACAAGAGAACAACAAACAGAAATAAAATGTAAGTCTCGATTTTAATTGATTGACACGTTTTTTGACTGTATATTTTTATTTTACTATTGATTAGAATGAATAGCCAATTGTGTAGTAGTCGAATAAGTTTAAGCAGTTCTGATGTTGATAAGAACTAATTATAAATTTCAGTGCATGATAACGATGAGTTTAAACGAATTTTTAACTCGTGGGAAAAACAGCAAAAGCAGAAAATGCTTAAAATGCGGATAAATTGCGGAAAAAACTCGAAAAAAAAAACTCGAAATTTATTCGTATTTTGCGGACCGAGATTAGAGGTGTAAGTCGATCGAAAAACGGCTGGCTAAAAGCTCAGCGCTCTCAGTGGCCGCAGGGATTCTCCCCCTCAGATTATTCTGTCTTTTTCCTACGCGAAATAAAGACAAGTAAAGAAATATTACTGTTTTATTTCAAAATTCTAGTATAAATAGCCTTTTCTAGTCAAACTCTTCCTATTCTGACATTTGTAGCTTGCCCGAATACATGAAATGTAAATATGGTAGACTTCCCACGAAATCCGCCACGTTTCGACAACCTTAGTTCTCTTTAACATAACGTACACCACCGAACATTAGAGGACTCGTTTCCTTCTGTTGTGAATTTACTGAGAACATAACAAAATAGTAGAACAATTCAGATTTCTCGTCAATGATTTATTATTCAAACCCTACTGATGATGAAGTCGCTATTGTACTTTGCTTTGTATCCAAGGTTTTCGTGCGTGCTTGCAAGCATTATTACATATATGGGGTGACACTTTTCTCATCAAAATAGAGGATCCTTGAGTAGAATATAATTGGCAGTCAAAAACACATGGTTAAAAAGAATTATCAAGGGACTTCTTCGTATATATTTTAATTAATCTCGTACTATATTTAATTAACCACATTTATTATTATCCTTTCTCGATAAAAAGCTATAAAAAGAATTTAAAAAAATGCACATAAAGATTTTCAGGTTATTACCTAGCATACTTTAACCTTCTCTCTCCGCATCCACTAATGTTTCACTTTAGTATTGTTAGAGAGCCTCAGCTCGCCTAGATTAACATAGAAATATATTAAAATTTGAAACGGGATGTTTAACGCAAAAAACGATTGAGTAATAGAAAAAAATTTCTCGCATAAACACATCAGAATTTTCACTACTTCTTGAGAAAGTATATATTTGTTTAATTTAACAACTTTTTACGTTAAAAGACTTTTAATTCTTGAGATGTTTTTGCCAGACGTTGTTTGTTATTAAAAACTAGATAATTTTCTGCATGATATATGTTTACTTCAACGTTTTTATCATTTCTGTTTCTAGAATGTAATGCGAGAAGAAAAAAATCAGAGAAGTGAAACTAACGCCCATCCAAAAATGGCCGCTACATTAATGGCCTGTGTAGAATTAGAAGCGGATAATATTTCGACGTGTGTTCTTCCAAGATAAATTAATATTATTAGAAATTTTGAATTATTGAGCAGTTTTTCTTTCTTTGTGTAGATTATGCAAATTTACTATTAAATGGTAAACTTGTTTTAGATAACTAAATATCGAACTTTCAATTTTATTTTTTGCATTGTAGTGCCTCTTGATGATGGAGATTTAAATGCTATTGTTGTTGCCGTGAAAATTCATGTAAATACTTCATAATGCACTTAGCGAAGCAACTTGATTTTTTGTTATATTTTCGATGTTGTGAAATTTCTCTGTAATCAGATAGTACACTCGATGTTCAAGTCAATTTATAGTATTTGATAATGGTTAGGTGTTGATTAGAATGAATTACGGTTGTTTACTGTTTCATTGCTTTTTCTTCTAGTATCCACATTATTTTAAACGAGATATAAACAAACTACAAATATATATTCACCGACGTAAAAATCGACCAGTGATTGATTATAAAACATTGTTACGAGGTACAATTAGTTTAAAGGTAGATTTTCTGTGAAAATAGATTAATGACGATCTTTTTTTACGTATTATTTTTTAGGTAATTCAATGTCCTCAAAGTATTGATTATATACATTTATATATGAATTCAAATGAAAAGAAACAGCAACACTATTTAACAGCCGTTGATAATCATAATGCACAATACTATCAAACGACATCGGATGTAGCGAGTCATGTGTTACAGAAACACCACCTTATCAGTTAGATATCTGTTGCCGATCTATCAAGTATAATAGCAGAACTAGGGCAGACTACTGGCATTCGTAGTGACAAAATAAAAAGATGGGCGACAACAACCACTCATACACAACAAATGATGTCCATAGGAAGTGGTCAAATTGAGGTAGGTGAGTAAATAAGCTCACCTTAAATTAAATAAAAATACTTCGTTGTTTCAGACAAGAATTTTGGTGATTATGTAGATAATGATAAGAACCCGTCTGATATAGACGATAACAATTTTGCATTTGGAAATGAAAAGAAGAAATTTATTAATCCAATGTTAATAAGGAATAAATTAATTAAAATATTCAAACGAAAAGGTTGAGAACAAGTAGAAATGGTGTGGTTGAAAGTCATCGTCATGATCTAATAATGGACCGACATTCAGATATTGAAGAAGATTGATCGATTCGTTCTTGTTCGAACAAGAACTGTTCCAGATAGTTTTACCATTTTTAACAGATACTAATCCAGATGAACGCATTCGAACAGCATCAATGATAACAGTAAGGTTTTCTTCTCAGTCGTTTTTTCGAAACGCTAACTCAGTGAAAGCTAAGTCTAGCGCACAAAGCGTTAGATTTGGTCAAAGTATTATGATCGAATAGGTCATACAACGTATCTTAATTTACTTTTTTATTAATTTATTATTTAAAGTGTTTGATTCTTGAGTTACAGTTGTGTCCCAGAGCATCTGTCAGGTGATTTGTTCAGTAAAAAAAGAATTTAAATGGCTCACCAAGAAAGCATTTATTTTGATAAATTTGATCTAAAACAAAGTTGAGAACACAAACTACGAACCGGACTATTCCTATATTAAAACAGCTTATCGAGATTAAGAGGCGATGTGTAGTCAAATCGATTAAATTTTATACGATTTCTGTAATGTGAGTATTTTTATCTTGTCCATTTCATACCGACAAGTGAAAATAATTGATAAAAAATTAAAGTATGTTTCATTTATACTTAAAGTATCTGTTCAAATAAACAAAGCCAGATTTTCCTGGTCTGATTGTGAATCGATCACTATATGAATTCAGTTTAACTGTTTCTGTTTTATCTAGGGTCGTGAAGGTGTGGTTCAACAACTGGAAGGTCTTTATATCAATGACTGTTTACCAGAAACTGTCATGCTTCTTTATACGAGTTTAAATCAACCAAACGTATGTTGTTTATTAAAAATGAGTTTTATATTTTATTAAAAAATTTTCTATTTCAAGATGATTCCGTTGAAGTTCAAAGAATACAATCTTACCGTTATATCACTAGCATTACTAAACGAAACATAATTGATTATTGTTCGTTTGATTCAACGCATACTAAAATGGTAAAATGAATATTCTAATTAAACTAACTTTACTTTTCACTTGTGCATTTTTATAGTACTGCACAATCGAAACAAGTTACCTTAGTTCGTGTTGTTTTTCTTGGAAATGATGTGTTTGTTAATTCATTTTTACAATCTTATGTTGAGTGTTTAGCAAGTAAACCAAAAGAATGGATGGCTTATTTTCGATTTGATTTTATACCAGTAGGTAAAATTATATTCTATTAAAACAGCTATTAAGCTGAGTTACTGTCTTTGATTTGTGTTTTAGTATCATCTTATTTGACAATATATTTGAGCAGTGTAGATTAACACTCCAATTCATTATTTGATGAAATAGTTCTTCGACAAACGAGACATCACAACTACTAGGTATTCATATCACTTATTATTATTGTTGCCACAACGAGTGTATTTAGTTTTCTTTAGATGTTCGAAACTTAGTTCACAAAGTAAATCGTTATGTAAAAACATTTCAATACATGCTTTCACTACCTATTGGAGAAGTGATGCTGAATAGAAAAGGACGATTGTAAGTATATCTTACGCTATTTTAATTAATTTATCTCACTACTTTTTGGTTTACACGATTAATCAAAAATAGTTTTTAACCATAGCAAATTGAACGAGACAACTTTTAGGCTTCTTCATGCATGCATTTTATATATGCAGAACGTTCGATCAGAAACAAAATACAAATTTGAAGTATCTTGATGTTAAAGGTCCTCACACTAATCTATCATTTTTTTAATATGTTGGTTTAGGTGCATCATCGTCATTCGAGCTAAGTGGCCAACAACAATTACTGGATGAAGTTCCATTATCAATATTTTCATAATTTCCTCTTCAAAATCGTGATCTGTTAATAACATCTTCGTTACCTATGAAAGATTCATCAGACGAGTCTCCACCCCAATCATCTCTACCACCTTCTACTGTGTTCAAGATATTAAAAGTGGGGATACACTACAAATATCCTGAATAACGAAACAGTAACTGAACATCAATTAGATTCTCAATCACAAATTAATGTTCCGATGATTATTGGATAAATATCGGTATGACACAACAAGGAGGTAGCAGTGGTGATATAAACACCAACAAAGAGAAACGAACAATTAAATCATCGGTACATTCAATCACGGTACGTTCAACAAGAAGCAATCCTTTTTTATCTTAACTCGTAAGGACACGCGCTGTAGTAAAAATTACCCAGAGCTCACGGATTAAAAATACCAGAGTAAAATAAGTTAGTTCAAGGATTAAAAATACCCCACATGACTCCATATGCAACAAAAACAATGCGCGCATCCTTATGGGAAGAGAATAAATGATTGTATAGAGAGGAAAAATTCTAAATTTAAAATAATTCATCATGCCATAAGAATGCTCTAGCCCCTTGTTCTGGTGCTGATTGATGTGCATTTTCAACATATCTTAGTGAAGATTGTTCACTTTTCGTTTTTTGATTGCCTTTGCTTGTTTTGAATTCGCAACATGACGTATTTCTACATAAAATATAAATTATTGTTAATATGAATACTAGAAAACTAATCATGATCGATATGAGTATAAACAAGAACAGAGATTTTTTAATTTTTTGCATTAACATTTCACGTTTTGATAATGGAAAATCTCGACGACATGTATCATCATATTTAGCATGTTCTCGAATCACAGTGTATCCGTAAACTTTTCTTATAGCACGGATATCATCATGACACATAACACGAAATATTGTTACGTGCATTACGGCTTTCATATCTAAGTTTGGTAGTTGTGGTGAATCATGATTTGCCGTATGCTGTAATGAAAATTCAAAAAATATTATTACATCTGATACAAGATCTTTTAAATTCAAAATATCTCTCATTAATTATACATATTCTCATCATACCTCAATTCCAAATCCGTGCAAACTTTCATGTAACAGTGCCCAGTACAAATCGAGTTTACAATTTTCATTTGCATCACAATGATTTAATATGGGATCCGATAAATAATCTTCAGTATAAATAAATGTATGTTTAGCATTGAATTTTGTTATCGCAATATTATTTTTTGTTGAATTTGAACCATTCTCTCCCAGTCTAATACCACCATGAGCACGATATTGATTTTCGAATGCCACCTCTTCGGTATAGATATCTATTGGCCATTTCATGGTGACATTATTCCATTGTGCTTCAGGATCATTTTTTGGACAAATATGATATTTAAAAAAGGCAATATTAAAATTGGCATCACCGGCATTTGTTGCTTCTTTTATACGTATTTGTTGATCATCATCAAGAACTTCATTAATATGATAAACTATCTTGCGAATATATGTTTTTAAAATATTAGTTGAAATTTTATTTGGATAAAAATTTGATATCCAAAAACGAATTTCAGATGGATTATAAATATAACGCCAATCGTTTTTCCATTGCTTTATTTCTGGAAATAGAAAAAATCGTTTTTTTCGTCCATATTCTCCATAATGTGCTTGATCAATAGCTATGGCATGATGTTTACATGTTGGTGTGTAATCATTCTCTATATGATTTAATGATTGTTGTTTTAATTTAGAAGAAGGAGAATATACCGAATATGAATAGACAACTTTGTTCAACGTTGTAGAAAACCAGATAAATGGTAACAAAGAAATAAAATAGTAGAATTTAGTTGACGTATCTATAGAATATAGATAAAACATCAGTAAAATTATAACTGAACTAAACTTAAGTTTAAATCATCAACATATATTTATATATGTCGCTTAGAAACAATTCATTGACTGTAAGACAGATTCCCTTGAAGGATATAAATTGTTGAATGTTAAGAAGGAGAGGAGAGCGTTATGATTTACAAAATAGAGTTCTCATCGATTTATCTTTATTGTGTAGCAGACTTTTGAATGAAAAAATACGAATGAGCTTCACATTATCAGATTTATTTGTCATCCTCGTGATTTGTATTTTTAACATTTTCAGTGTAGTTGTCACATTTGCGTAGAATTATAGCAATTTTACTGAAAACGGACTGAAACAGGGTGAGGATACAATCTTCTTGATAATATTTTATCTACTGTTTTTTTCTATTTGGCATTTTCGAAGAAGAGAATTTAATTTTGAACATCCTTATATGACTAGTGGGTTGTACCCTAAAAGTTTTCAGAGGATATTCGTTGAAAAATACACAAGGCCAGAGATGGGAATAGAAAACTCAATTTTTTCGTACTCCGGCTCTTTTTTTACATAAGAATTTTCACACGAGACTTTGCTCTAAAATTACGCTACATACACTGGAAAAAGCAGAATTTTATGATGTTTGGAATTTTAGTGGGGTGTTTGTTTGTATTTTGCGGTGGGCTTTTTACTTTTCGGAGTGTTGCGGTAGGAACATTGAGTATGTGTTGATGTTTTAAATATTATTCTGGAGGATATTTTTTGTTCAACACCAACTTGACAATCTTGTAGAGCGGAAAGTTCTCTGTCGAATGAGCCCTAGCCTGCAAATTACAGGGAACTGCTCGAAAAAAGGAAATGATTCTGATCCGTTCTTTACGACCCATCCTTTATCCTCCAAGGAAATGATCTTAAAGGTTGTAAGCGACTGGTAGCTATGGTGAACCGCTAGTTTAGAATATTTACAATCAACAATGTTTATCAAAGTGATTGGTAGACATTGTTTTAACTTTTGATTGTCTGTTCGATATTGCCATACGCCCCAAAATATTTCACTTCTTTAAAGCAATTGTCCGTCAGAAAAATCTTTCTTCGTTGACTGAAAATAGTCGGAAACTTCGTGTCCACTTTTGAGAATTCCAAGTCAAATTATTCATTCATACGTTAATTGAATTGATTTATATATTCGTAAATAGTCGACATTTTTCTTTTCTTTTTGTTTTAGTTATGAAATTTAGTAAAAAGCAGTAAAGAGTCAGAAAAAGTTGAACCACAATCCATCGATAGTATTACTCGACTTGTATGCACATCAAAATGTCGAACTGACTGTTATGTTCATTTACTTCACCGTTGTTCGATTCTTTTTCACCATTTATGTTTTTATTGTAGTTAATGTAGATGGTATCGAATGGAATAATGTTAAAGTTTTTCAAATATCATCTCAATGGCATACACATATCAAACATTTTCCATTGGCAATATTTAGAGAATACAAAAATTAAATAGGTTTTATTTATTTTTACATTTGGTCACTCTGTTGCTCTTTCAAATTTGTAGAATAATTCCATATCATAGTCTGGTAGTGTTGTGTTTTGTCGTTATATTCAAATCAACGTTTAGTTTTTCAAATGAAAGCTATAGTATCATGTGCATGCATGAGTAAAATTTAATATTATCTATAAATGTGTAAATTTGTTTTGCCTTATATTTAATTTTATTTAATTTCGCTCAAGTCGTATTCAATATAAGATATATTATTAAATGGTAATGATCTGTATACTTAGCTAACTGCTTTGGCTTTTTAATGGAAAGCGGCAGCATTATTATTTTATTTAAGATCGTATCTTTCTCGTCTCACGCTGCTTTTTATATAAAAGAATATATATCAAACGAAAATTGGAAGAATTTTGAAGTTTTACTAAATAGCCATCCCACTCCTATCCATTTTAGATGAACCGTTTCTTTGTTACATACAAATGAGTGAGAGAAGGTAAAGCATCGTTTGCTCATATTTTGCTTTTATCTTCTTATTTTCCAATTTTTTTTTTATGTTTGAATAGGTTCATGACTCTCTCATATATTAAGCAATATCAACAATGTTATTCGGACTTTTATGAAAGACTTCGTCTTTTAAAACAGCTTAAATTTGCTACTACTATTCCTTTGTATGTACAGTATATTCCATTTTTTTTTGAGTAATGTTTAGTATAAGGGAGTTAGAGACCTGAAGAAAAAAAAAGGTGTTAAAGATCACCTGTGGATGGTGTGCCTGAGCGTGTTTAAAAGAGTCTATTTCCCTCTGAAGATACACCAGGTTTTCAAATCTAACCCTTAAATTCAAACCACTAGACTGTCTTTTAGCGATCTACACAACCCCAAGGTCTTCATCTAAATGGCACAAATTTTTCTGGGAGCGTCGTCTCGATGTTTACTGAAGTCTGGCATCCTCGAAAATGTATGAAAGTACAGATTTTCGACCACATGAGCGATTTTGAGCGAAATTTTTGATTTATGATGGAAATATTTCAATCTAGATTGATTATTTCACATAATATAGTTTTACACTATATTTTTCAATTTTTCTGTGAAAATACCATCCGCAATTGAACTTTGGCACTTTTTTTCCAAAAATGTCTTTGTTGAGGTCTCAAACACGTTTATAATGAACATTACTCAAAAAACAATGAAATGTGTTGCACTTACAAATGAATAGTACTTTCATTTCAGTTCAACTATTTATCTTTCAAAATATGTTATATCTGTGACTTTTATGTTGTCTTTTCAACATAATCGATACTTTTCAAAAGGACAGTAGTTATTTGCTTCATTTATGATGAAAATAGCCAATACGAAATGTTTTATTATTAAGTAAAACGTTGTTTTTGAAAGTTTTTTTAATAATATGGTCTACTTTATCGTACCTCTCTCTATCCGTAACATAGTTATTGAAAAGATAATCGACTAAAATGCAAGATAAATGATATATATTTTTATTAGTGTACTTTTTATTATTGTTACTATTGCAAAAAATCGATATTCTTCTTTGGTGATAGATAATTTTTTAGCAATTTATTTCAGATTTATAATGACTTCAAACATCGATATTTTTTTATTTATTCTTTTTGATTTATTGTTGTTTCTAACAACATGTGTAGACTGTGATCCAAAGTTAATAGCAGGCCACGTTGTATGTTACTCAAATTAACTTCATTGTACACACTAAATTTATATATATACTTTTTTTGTGGCATGTTTAGATTTTTCGACATGGTGATCGTACACCAATTACTAACTATCCAAAAGATGTTGTGAATGAGTCATTTTGGCCAAATGGCTATGGTCAACTAACATCTACGGGAATAAAACAACAACGAAATTTAGGACGCTATATTCGTCAACGTTATAATAGTATTCTCAATTCAACTTATGAAGCAAAACAAGTATTCCATTGGATCATATCGTAATATATTTTAATTTTTTAATTCTTTATATTTTGAAGATTACTGTGAGAAGTACCGATTATGATCGAACACTAATGTCAGCCTATTCAAATCTTCTTGGTCTTTATCCTCAATTGGATAATAGTACAGACATTTCAGTTCAACCTATTCCCGTTCATACAGTTCCACAGAATGAAGATTATGTAATATAGTTAAAATAAAGAAACAAAAGTCCTATTTTACTTTAATATATTTTTATTTAGTTACTTGGTATAAATATTTGTCCAAGAGAGGATCAAATTATCAACGAGATTAAAAATAGTGATGAAGTCAAAAACTTGAATATAAAATTTGCAGTAAATCATTAAACTAATTCTAGTAATTGTGATCAATATTCATCCTCTTTATTTCATAGGGATTTTTTAAAGATTTGGAAGGTTATACTGGTTTTAAGGAAATTGATTTATTCAATGCATGGGACGTTGCTGACACAATCTTTGTGGAGGTAAATAATAGATGATTCAATTGGAATAGTTGTTTATCTGTCAATTTGATAACTTTTCCATTCTTTTATAGACTTTATATAATGTGACGGTACCATGGGCTACAAAGGCAGTTCAAGCTAATTTATCAGAAATTAATGATTATTCATTTCAGTTATCATTTTCACGTCCAGATAGTAAACGAATTCGCGGAGGTTAGTCTAACTTATAAGACATATTAATTTTTAAACTTTATATTCAATTATAGGTCCTATAATTAAAGATATTTTGGATAATATACATAATTTGAGTGCAAGTACATTTCGAAATGTCAAACTCTATTCTGCTGTAAGCTAGTATTCAATTTTATTGTCATCTTACATAATATGAGCCTTATAGCATGATACAACTGTCAGTGCAGTGTTGTCATTTCTTGGAATTAATTATCCACATCAGCCACCTTATGCTAGTGCTGTATTTATTGATTTTTATCAAAAAGGTACATGTATATCACTATTTTTAGTCATATTTTTCATTTTATAAGTGTTTAATTTTAGATGATCAATCGTATGCAATCAAAGTAGAATATTTAAATGAGACTGGAAAACTCCCTTATCCAAAGCAACTTGATAGTACGAACTAAATCAATTTTTTCAATTTTTTTTCTATTCATTTTGTCTTTGTATTTAATTTTTATTAGATTGTCCTGATTATTATTGTCCATTCGAAACGTTCAAATCTATTTATCAACCCAAACTTCCTGGTACAGTCGATGTTGAATGTGCAGCAAAAGTGCCTGCACCAAGTAAGTTAGTGTACACTTTGATTATGAAGCGCATGAAAATAATTTCTTTTTCTTTTCTCTAGGTACTGGATTTGGACCAAACGGAAAGTTGATTTTGATTTTAACAGGTGTTATATCATTAGTAGTGGCTATTGCATTTATCGTTAGTCTATCTATCTATTTACGTCGATCATCATCCGATAGAACACCTTTATTGTTACAGTCATCATCAGCAGTTATATAGTTACTTGAGACAAATGAGCGAGCATTTTATAAACATTTATGGTTTTTTTATATCATCAGTTTCTACGATTAAATGATGAATAATGTTCTCTCTTTATCTTATGTTCTTTTACAAACTTGATTAAGACCTTCAATAGATCTGTTACGTTTTGATAATTTGAAAGTTTTCTACCATGTAACATTTTCGTGGGTATTTATATTTTTCTTTAGTTGAACTGAGCAATTGAATGTACTGATACATTTTCTTTTTTGTTACTTTTTACATACATTTTCGGAACAAATTTATCTCTTCTATCGCTTTTCTCTTCTATCAAAGTTGTGAAACTATTATAAAAAAAGAATTTTCTATTTTTTTCTCTTGTGATTGGCTTAGCCATGGAATATCTGACAGGCGGATGGAGTTAAATAAAAGTTGTTCGATATGCTCTTTCCAACCATCCACAGATAAGCGAAAATAAAAACCTGCTCGATTTTTGCATTGCCGGCACCTTACACAGATAGTAAGAATAGATTATTATTCAATTTCTAAATCAAATTGCAAGACGACGAAGATTTTTGAACTTTCAGACTCAGAAAAGTCTGTCAACGCCTGTTGAATAGAATAAGGACTATATTTCTGTCCACCAAAGTGACGGAATTCACGTCGGAGAAACCTGTAAGAACAGTATTCTTACGACGAAACTGAATGATTGTACTCTTTCCATCCTCTCCTAGAAGGTGCAGCGCTAAAAGCATTCTCCTTTTGCTGTTTCGAGCAGGGTGCCCAAATCCAATTGTTCGAAATTAGAAGCTTTTCGTTAAAAAGCAGGAGTTGATCAGGTGATTCTTTTTCGAAATTAGAGAAAAATAGCAGAGTATCAGACAGTTTTTTCTTGGACAAGCAAAACAAAAAAATCAAATAACTTTTTCAAAACATGTTTTAAACAAGTTTTTTTTCAAATAACTTTTTTTTATATATTTTTTGATGGAACAGTATTATAATTTGTTACAGACTGCAGTACGGATTGAGGAAGAAGATTTTGATCCGATGGATTTGGAAGTTCACTAATCTCATCTTCTTGTGATGAAAACATTCAACAAGCACACAGCGAAGTCTTTCAATGTACAGTTATTTAGACTCTTGATCCAGAAATTCCATATCTGAAACTGATAATCTCAGTTTTGGAAAAAACAAAATCGATGCAGGAGAGCAATTGAAAATCAGGAGAAAATCTTAAAAATCAGTTTCTGAAATCAGGAAATTTTTCTTTAGGAGTCTCCTGGCCAGATCAGGAGATTTGGGCACTCTAGTTTCAAGGCAAATACCACCCGCTGAAACAAAACGAAATGGACGAATGAATGAAATATAGAAAACTGATTTGCTCGTAAAATCATTATACTTCGCCAGGTGTACTAGAAATGTGATCGTCAGGTTAGGAAACTTCACGTTCAACGTCAGTCCGTTCGAGAGTGAGAATTGGAAGAAAATTACCTGGTTGGTTAACAGTTACGGAAAAATAAATGTAATAATAAAGCCGCGTTTCGTCTATATACAGCACTTGTGTCTTTCTATTAGTTGCAAGAAAAGAAAGAAAAATTAATAGAACAAGGGAAATAATGTTTGTTTGTTTCTACTAGTCTATAAAAAGAATTGTTGAATCTCTCTGGCGGCTGTGACCAGCTATTTTAACAGTGGAGATATGAAAGAAACTGCCGTCCCTCGGAAACAATATTTCATTCTTAATAAAAAAAGAAGAACAGGCTCTATGCTTATCTGTTGTGCAACTTTCTTTTTATAAATTCCTTTGATCAGAGCACAAATCAGGTGAGAAAAAACAAGATAAAAACAAATGGCAACATATATCGAACAGCTGCCTGTCGAGCTCTGGCTCATCATATTCATTTATCATGAGAGGCAGTACTTCATTCGAGCATTTTCAAGACTGGATTCATACATCGATTCGATTACTCCGTTCGCCTGATCTTCGTGTTCATTTTCATGTTGAAAAGAATCAAATGCCGTTTCAGGCAGTTTCCTCGATATTTCGAATCGAATCGACCGAAGAGCTTAGTGAAAAAAAATGGCCTACAGGTCCTCTTCTTTCCTTTCTCAAGATAGAAGCATCTTTTCTGCCCAATCTGCGTTCACTCACTCTTCACATGCCCAAGGAGACTGACTGCCGTTTACCTTTATTATGTCAGAGCCTTTCTCATGTTTCGTAGTCTCTCAAGTGTCTCGAACTTGTGTGTCTAATGTCATTGAAACATTGTTTATTCAAATATTATCTCTGCCATGATTACGTGTGTGCAAGCTAACCTTTAGAAAATCTAGTTTTCTCTCTACGAATTGCACTTTACCCATTAATCATTCGATTAAATGTAATATGTTGCCCTATTTATTCAAAGCATGCCTTCTCTACACTCTTTCAGCTTCATGGTTTCTTTCTATTACCAGCCATCACGGAATGATGCTATCCATCTAGCTCGATTAAAAACGGCTATACTTAACGCACCGACATTCTGGTTGCAAGATCTCGAGTGTCTCTTTCATATTGCACGATGTCTCACTTGTCTCCATTTAGCCTGTCGATCATCTTCTCATATCATAACTGGTAGTGATTTTCTCAAACCGACAACTTGGATGAATTTGCTCGCCACTCATCCGAGAAGGATTCATATTCATTTGATTCACTACAGCTACTGGTTAAGTAACTTTCGATTAGCCGAATTGAAAAAGACATATGTTGAGTTTGAATGGATAAGGATATATCAAAAACAAAGGAATTTGCATATTGACGTGCAGAAACGTTTGGCTTTTTGAATTAGAATATTCATCTTAGTCTTTTTCTAATTCAGAATAAACAATTACTGTATATTTTAATTTACAATTATAACTACTTTATTTACGGGCAAAAGTGACGAAGAAGGTTAAACGAAAACTGGCGTACCAGCATAAAGTGTCTCTCACAAGTATTCGTACACCTGCAAACCAGCATAAAGTGTCTCTCACAAGTATTCGTATACCTGCAACATCTAACTTGTTTGCCGATTTTCAATAGAAACAGAAAGGATATTTGAACTTTTGATTTCAGCATTCGAAAGGCCAAAGTGCCTTCTCTATACGCCGTGAAAATCAAACTAGATTGCACGTATGCAAGCACCCGATGCGAAAGTCGCCGTGTCTCCAGTAAAATAGACTGCGCTTAGACGTCGTCCGAGGCTTTCCCAATAGGAAAAAAACGTTTCTATAATTTTCAACAACTGCTAAATCTGTGGAACGAAAATGTGAAGAAAAGAGAAAATTATCTGCTAACATAAGCTATTCACTGTTTCATCTTGGTTCACGAGAAGAACCATCACGTTTATTATAAAAATATATGACAAATCAACAATAATCCATACGAAACAAACATATTTTTCAAGTGTGAACTGAAAAGAATCCGTCCAGCATCTCCATCTCATCTTTCGCTAATAAGAAAAAAAATGTTTACAAATTATCTTTTACAACAAATTCAAATTTGATGGTAAAAGTCGCAAAATACTTCTAATTTTCTTTATTTCTCGCGGTTGATTAAAAAACCCATTTTCTCAACAACGAAGCAACATAAAATAAAACCGATACGTAATTTCTTTCCCAAAGGTATACTGAGTAGAATGAAATGAGAAAAAATGCTCAGTCCTTCAATTAACAAGAGGAATTAGACAGGTTACAAGATGGGCAGTGTTCATTCCATGGATGCTACGCGGGTTCTAAAACTTTGTCATTTTAGTTTAAATTTTGCTGTCATTCTTCAACTTTTCATCGGCAAGCCGAGAAGACATTTTCGAAAGACAAATAATGATGAAGGTGAAAAGTTTACTCATTTTTGCCTATTGTTCAAGTTTTGAATATTTTGGAAGTTTTTCTCAGGAAAACCGTTTTATAAAGAGCAAAATTGACATTTTACTATATCAAAAGAAATCCTGCTGAAATTTTGAGTTACTGACATCTTATCTTTCAAACAACTAACGGACTAAACTAAAAGTTAATTGATAAATTATACAGTTTTCCAACTTTTTGTTCAATCGTCACACAGCTGATTGATCAAAATTGCCGTCATCGGTGGTGTAAATTGTATAAACTGAAAAAAATGCAGGGAGCGAATGGTAGGTTTGCCAATAATAAAATGAGTATGAATTGACTAACCTTCAGTGTTATTCATTTTCTCTTTTGTTGTAACAGACAGAGACGGCCGAGCGTTTCCAAATGGGGTAAAGGACACGGTAAGGCAGCAGCGGATCTAGAAAGTTTTTTTGGAAGATGCAGTTTTTCGTAAAAGTTTTCGTAGCAACCAGAATCCAACATTTTTTTATTCAGACTCCAAAACAAGTGAAGTTTTCAGTAAAAAGGACGAAAATGAGGAAAACGTTTGCGCTAGACTAATCGAAGAAAAGCATATTTGTTTCAAAAACGTGGAATATATATATAATTAATGAGTGTCGCATAAAGAATAACCCGATTAGTATTTTTTGAATATCTCTTTCAAAGTTGATCGCCAAGTCTCAATCTTTTTTTATAAAAGATTCCTCATTTAATTCTCTACCCAAAACATATTGAACATTTCTTTATATACTATATTTAAGACCCTTCATAGGCTCACGCAGTCGCAGGATGATTTTTTTTCTTTTAGCGATTTTGCTCAAAACCATCATTTTCTAACTGCAGTTTTGAGGCATTTTGAAAAATTTGTCAAACATTATGATGTTGGGTCCAGAGATGGGCGAGTCCGAGTCATGACTCGGACTCGAGTCACCTTTTTTTAATGACTCGGACTCGACTCGGACTCGAAGATTGGGTGACGTTGACTCGACTGTTTGACTCGAGTCATTCATTAAAAAAAAATTTAATTTGCTCTTATAAAAAAATCACAACTCATCAGATTAAATTTTCACTTATTCGTCAGAATAGTTGATTTTGATGTTCTTGTTTTGTTGATAAATCTATAGTACTTGTGTCATTTCATTTCATGTAGGACTTTGTTTTTTTCGTGAATTAAGAACTAGGAACTAAATATTGTGTCACAAAAAACTTGTTAATTTTCTTTATAAAAATAAACCGAAAACGAAAAAATGGCAAAAATATCTTGACTCGACTCGACTCGACTCGAGAACGCTGATGACTCGACTCGACTCGACTTGAAGCCGCTACGAAATGACTCGGACTCGACTCGACTCGAAAAATGGCTTGACTCGCCCATCTCTGGTTGGGTCTAGTTTATCTTAAAGCAAAATAATTCATCTGTTACATCCGAACAGAGAAAGTCGAACAGTCCAATTTCGTTTCTATGCAAGGCGAAGAAATCACCTTTTCCCGATTTTTTACTTTTAGTAAAATCTTCGTTCGTGATAGAAAAAAGGTTTATAGCGAACTTATGATACAAGAAAAGAAATGTGACATTCAGAAGCACCAGAAAATACATTTCGATTCCACTTTGACGCATAGCACCGCATTCAAAATAAATACTTTTTGGTTGCGCTTTCGCTTTGGGTTTGACAGTAATCGATATAGAAGCTTTCCCATATTTCCTCTATATATAGAAATGTTCAATATGTTTTGTGTAGAGAATTGAATGAGGAGTCTTTTTAAAAAAAGATTGAGACTTGGCGATCAACTTTGACAGAGATGGGATTCAGAAAATACTAATATGATCATTCTTTATGGTACACCCGTTAGAAGCATTACTTCGCTATTTCGAACAAAAGACAATTTACATTTCGAGGCTTTTTGGCGTCCCTGATGCAAAAAGTTAGCATTCTGTACTTAACCCAATCCAGTCTTCTAGCACCACCGTATATATCTCATTTTAGTCTCTGTATTTACAATCCCTGAAAAAAACGCAGAGTTTTATTGAAATCGCAGCAAAACTTTTTCGCGCTTGTTAAGTCCAGAGACTTCGTGCACTAGTCCTATGTTTAGTTCCTTTACTTTTTTACTTTCGCAAGTGTCAAAGCACGGGATTTTCTTCTCACATGGCAGGGTACGCGCTTTTCTTTCTTTTTGGATATAGTTTTGATAGCAGTCATTATATATTTACTGGATTTTACTCTCTTTCTATGTTTTGACTACTCTTTTTTCTCTATTTTTAGTATATATACTGTACGATTTTTCAGTTTTGTCGTTTAATGTATACGAGAGCAGACAGAGGCGGCGGAACCACTAGGCTGGGTAAGGCTTAAGCCTTACCCTATTTTGATGTAGAATTTTGAATTTAGCATTATGTTATTTAGATAATACTTGGCTACATTGACAGAAAGGCCTCATTTATCTGATTAAAAGACCAAAAGACGTTTGGCTGCGTGTATTAAACTCTGCTTTTTTTCAGTGATCTTAAACGCAGAGACTAACATGAGATATGTGTAGTGAGGACAGAGGACTGGATCAGGATAAAATGTTAACTTTTGGCATCAGAAACGCCAAGAAACCTCTAAATACATATTGTCTTTTGTTCAAAATATAGTGATCCTCTAATCACATAGATATGCCACGTTTTTCAAACAAATTTACTTTGATTAGTCTAGCGCAAACTTTATCCGTTTTTTGGCCTTTTTGCTGGGAACGTCACTGTTTTTGGAGTCTGAGTCAAAACAGCTTGGATTCATGGAGCTTGAGCTGACATTTTATTTTGACGAATTGAACTCAAAAAAGTATTTTCTTGTTTGCTTGCTTGTTCTTGTTACGAAAACTCTTATTACGGAAAACTGCACTTTCTCGAAAAACTTTATGTCTCGAGAAAAGGCCTTATCCAGCCTAGTGGTTCCGCCGCCTCTGGTAACAGATCTACCAGAAGTTATTGATTTTGTGCAGGTGAAATAGGTGAAAAATACAAAACATCACAGGAGCCACAAGCATTTTTCTTGAACGAACGCGCGACTTTTTCCAATTTCTATAGAATGAATGAACGAATTATAGTGGTTTTTGCTCAGGTTGGTGAAATAATGGAAAAGGCTACATCGCAGCATTTTAGAAAAAAGAAACGTATGTACTACAAATAGTATGACAGATCAGTATCCAGATATAGAATAAAAAAATTTTCCAAAACATCGATTGCAATTTAGTTCACTGATCAATCAAATGACAGTGTGCAAAATCGAGAATTAATCAACGAAAATATATTAATTCGAATTATGAAACGTTTTCTAGTATTTATACGTGTTGACAGGCGACTTCAACTATTTCATTAAAAGTTAGTACTTGTAGGCTAGTAACATCTACCATCATATCGTGCTATATTTAGTTTTAGTTACTTTGAAGTGCTTATTCTCTAAATTATTCTTATTTAATCAAAACCTAATTAAACAACAAATCGGGATAAAAATTAATTACATGTTGTGTGGACTTGCACAATGTTTAAAACATAAAAAGGAGATGGAAAGAACCAGTTGAATAAATAATAGACACTGGTTGTAGGAAACATGGGCACAAAAAATATCTAAGCGAAAACAAAGATACTAGCACCGTCATAACTTATGAATATATTGAATAAGAGGGAATCTGCCATAGAACACGACTTACTACCACATACAAACGTACTTGAAGAATAACAAAACAGTTATGGTAAAATCGTCTTGTATATTTAATACACTAAAGTAGAGATTAGATAGCTTACCCATTTTTGTGACAGATTTAGAGTGAGCAATAGATTACTCTAAAGCATATGCTTTAACAATAGATGATCAATCATGATTATAGGTAATATTAGCGAAAACTGCTTTAAATAAACTAAGTAGTACTGATCTTTGAGAAATATTTTTAGAACAAAACAAAAGAAGTGAACGACATATTCAATAATATCCACAATCGCACACCAGATTAGTGATGGTATTTCGACTTGCAAGACCCTTATTAAGTTGACTGAATCCTAACCAACGACGAAAGAAAACACAATGTATTTTAATTTTTTGAATGTAGAGTTGTTCCATTTTAAATTTAAACGCAGTTCACTGGTGTGAATTGTTAATTCCATTTGGCAATGTATTCCACAGGCTAATTATATAGGGATAAAATTATGTTGTAGCACAATTAGTTAAGTACGTAAAACTGGGAGTTGTATTTAAGTGAGGTTACATAAAGTATAGGCAGGAGATGGTCGTTATGGTAACAGTTTTATATATAGTGAGATTGATTGTGAAAAAACCGCAATTAGCGTAAATACAAAAAAACATACGACAAACAACCATTTAGAGTGCGTTGAGATTAAGAAAATTATATTGGTATATAATGATATAAGTACAAACTTCGAAAATTTAATACACTTATTAGAGAGAAAAAGTTTTATTGAGCTGATCGATTCAAAACTAAATGTTATGCATATTGTAAAGTGTCTAAAACTCTGTGAGTGAAGAAGATAGATGATGTATCTACTCACTTTGCTAATTTATCTGCCGTAAAATACTTACGTTATTACTTGTTACACTCTTCTGAACGCAGATGAAGTAAAATTTCTATTTTTATATTGAACTTAAGATCAAATCAGAGTTCAATCGAAGCTGTTAAAATCTGACAACAAACTGAAATATACGAAATGCTTCTTGTGCAAATTTTCAACTTATGACTTTAAAAAGGGTTTGGTGCATGTGTATGAGCAATATGTACTCAATTCAGTTCAGTGTTTTCTTTCTAAACGCTTTTCATTTCCGATGTTTAAATGAATTTATTACACTGAACAGATTTTTACGTAGTATGTTTTAATTTTGCACTTGTTAGCTTTGCTGTTTGTGAATAAAAAGCTTGTAATACGTCCATAATATTGACAGAGATCCGTCTTCTTTTCGTATACTGACGTCATTATTGAAAAGTTTGAAGTTATACGTTGTATCTGACTGTATATCGACAATTTTATGTATGGAAGTTATTTTTGTCTACGTACAATGATAGATAGATATTTATCGTTCTTGATCTTTGCCTTTTTTTCTTTTAACTAGCGTTCTACTTCACATTTTTTCAAATAGAAAAACCTTATTAACTTGCATTACATGGTGAAGAACAGTGTTTGTCGTACTGATTTCAAAGAACATTATAGCTACACCAATGAAATCTTCGGCTGTAGTGATCCACAGGGTCATAAATAGTGGCTAGATACCAACTAGATAATTTAAAATCTTTCTTTTATTACAGACAATCGTCTCTAAAGAATTCAATCTTCTTACTGTATCATGATCTAAGATGTTTTACCTCATATCTAGCACTTATTTGAATTCGCTGTAGGAATTATCTTACTTATGAGAAGTGTAGTATGTCTGTTTTATTTTAGAATGTCTGGCATTCCGGGTGGCAATCGCTCGTCACAAGCTGGTTCCTCCAGGTAAATCACATTCTTTTTTTTTGTCGTGTTTTATAAATACGGAGAAATCTGACCTTTTTTTCTATTTCAGAATTGATAACAATAAAACTATCAACAAAGATAAAACGTACTGGTGGGACGTTGCCCATGTAACATCACGTCATTATGAATTGGAACAAATTATTAATCGTGAACGTATTTTTGGTTTTCGACGAATTGTTAAACTATTAGTTTATGTCATATTCTTCTTAATTGTTGTTTGTTCATCTGTTGTAAGCAAATTAAGTTTATTTACAATGATTAATGCTTACAAGAAAACCAATCAGGTAGATGCACATATCCTGTGCTACTTTAAAATTACAATATTTTGTTTCCCTATTAATTTTTCAGCCAAATGAATATATCATACGATGGCAACTATTACTTGTTTTAACATTAATTGTTCCATACATTCTAACATTTATTTACAGTGTATCATTGTCATTATTTTATGTCAAAAAATCACCTCCATTTCTATTGTTTATATGGGTAAACATTAATAAACAATTTTTATTTTAATAATGCTTTAAATTTGAATTATGATTGTTATTTAGGTGCACATAATGGAATCATTACATACCTGTGGTCTAGCATTATTTGTATTCAAAGTTTTAACAGTTGTTGATAATGTTACGGGTTTATTTATTATGAACGGTGTTTGTTTTATTCCGGCATTATTAAAATTGTTATTTGCATCTCGCCGAGATCTAAATCGTACGTTGAGAACGCTGACATTAGCTGTTGATGTTATGACTCTTATAATGCAATCGGTATGTGAATCTTTATTTTAGATGATGATACTCTAAGATTCGTATATTGTTTTAGTGTGTTTGTTTCATTCCATATATTCTCTATTATTATAATAATGAACAATTTCGAACATTATCAAAATCAAAAAAAGATCTTTTATGGTCACTACCATTATCATTATTATTAATTTCATTTGGATACTGGGAAAGTTTTGCTGTTGTACGTCATCCAAAACATCGTATTAGTGATCGTTTATTGCGAGCAATTCATCTATTGAAAAAAACACGGCCAAAAGTATATATAACAGCAAGTATTTGGAAAATAATCATCATTGTGGCAGCTACTTACTATTTTTTGCCATCAACAATTCCAAAAAAAGCTTATTTTAATTTATTTAAAAATATCACAATGGGAAACTATACAACGAAAACAACAGTAGGTGGTTATTCAGTAAAAGAAGACATTTTTAAAGTATCCTATGAAGTTTATCTACCAATGATTGTTCAAATTATATCATCATGTGTCTGTTATTATACAGGAAGAATAGCTTGTAAAGTATGTACATAAAACTCTCAACTGATTAAGACAAAAATGTTTTTCGATATAAATTATTACTAACTGAAAATATTTGTTCATTCTAGGTATTAATGCAATGTTTTGGCTTTTCATTACCGTTAACAATATCATCATTAGTTACGTACAGTGTTTTATTCTTTGTTAACGGCTTCAACACTGATATTATACCCGTTGGACGTCTATTTTATGTAGATAAACCACAAAGTAAAAGAAGATGCTTTCGTTTTTTTAATGTTTTTTAATTATTTTTATTAATAGTATTGGGTTCAAAACTTTTGCCAATTTCATTAATCGGCTTTCTACTTTTATGGCTTTCGAGAATGTGGATAACTAGTCACGTTTGGTTTCCGAATTCAGAACGTTTGGCAATGATACATAAGTATGGTTATGCGTGTTTGTCTCAAAAACATTTAGCATGATAATTGTAATAGTTCTTAGGAAGAAGAATAGTGTTCCTTCTGTTAGTCAACCATTTCATTAATAGTGTACAATGGTATCTGTAAAATAAGAGTCACTCATTTCGAGCTAGTATACCATAACAGCTAAATGTTTTAGATGTTATAATGATCCCTACCAATCAGATATATTAATGAAGAACTAGAGCACACAGCAATCATTTATTAAAATTCTTTATTTTGAATTATATAGGTTGTTTATTGTACCATTTTATGAGTCACCTATTGTTGAACAAAATTTATTATTGAATAAAACACGAAAAGATGAAACAGAAATGAAAGGTATGTTTTACGTATTTTGTTAATTAATAGACTAAATTAATGTTTCTTTTTAGATAATGTTGAACCAGATATACAAGGTGAACGAAAATTTCCTGTACCAATGATTTATGTTTGTGCAACAATGTGGCATGAAACAACAAGTAGGCTCTATTCATATATCACTCTCTCTCTCTCTTAATTGATCCATCATTTGATTCGTAAACTAACTAACTATTTAATTTACGTATGTTTTAGATGAAATGGCACAACTTCTCAAATCAATATTTCGGTAAATTTACAGATAATGAACATACATATGTCTTTTTAGACGTTTTACTTTATTATAGAATCGATTCTGATCAGCATGCTCGTCGTTCCGTTCAAAAACATTTGCGTGTGATTGATCCAGATTATTATCGTTTTGAAGCTCATATTTTATTTGACGATGCATTTGAAGATGACGAATTAGAAAACAGAATTCCAAATCGCTACGTTAAACAATTTGTATCTGTTGTCAATGTGGCTGGAGCGTAAGTTATTTCGGAATCAAACAAATTTTTTCGAAATTTAATTCATTTTCGTTCTTTAGTTATGTGCACGGTGTTGAAAGAGTTTTAGATGATCCAATTAAAATTCCGACACCATACGGTGGACGTCTTGTGTGGATTTTACCTGGAAAAAATCGTCTGATCGTACATATGAAAGATAAAGATTTAATTCGTCACAAAAAACGTTGGAGTCAGGTATAGAGAAAGATATTTTATTTTTTCAATCGAAATTTGAAATCTTATGAATTTTTAAGGTCATGTACATGTATTATTTATTATCATTTAAATTATTGAGACGGAAACCAGGACATAATTTATCTCATCATGCACCACGAACAGAAACAGATTTTATTGGTTTTAGTGATTTTTTAAAAAACTTACCCGAAGAAAAGAAAATATTGGTTGGATTATTTATGTTGTTGTCTCACTAATTCTAATGATTTATTTCTTTTAGGTTCAAAATACTTTTGTATTGGCATTAGATGGCGATGTTGATTTTAAGTAAAAGAAAATAGATAACTAGAATATCGAATTTTGCATCTTTTCCTGTTTTTTAGACCTGAAGCTGTTCTACTTTTGGTTGATCGTATGAGGAAAAATCCAAAAGTAGCTGCTGCATGTGGTCGAATTCATCCGACTGGTGATGGTCCGATTGTGTGGTATCAACAATTTGAATATGCTGTTGGTCATTGGCTTCAAAAAGCAGCCGAACATAAACTGGGAAGTGTTTTGTGTTGTCCTGGCTGCTTTTCATTATTTCGCGGTTCATCATTAATGGATGATAATGTCATGAGACGTTATGCTGATAAATCAACAGAAGCATTTCATTATGTTCAATATGATCAAGGTAAGTGAAAATAATTATTGTGGTCAAAGATTCATAATTGCTTTATTTAGGCGAAGATCGTTGGTTAACAACGTTACTGTTACAACAAGGTTATCGTATTGAATATTGTGCAGCATCCGATGCTTTAACTCATGCACCTGAAACATTTCATGAATTTTTTAATCAGCGTCGTCGATGGATGCCATCAACAATGGCAAATATAATTGATTTATTAAAAGATTCTCGTCATACAACTCATGTTAATGACAATGTATCAAAGTTATTTATGTTTTATCAAGCAGTTTTATTTGTATCTACCATTCTCGGTCCAGGAACAATTTTGTTAACAATAGCATCAGCGTTAAGAACTGTATTTTCAAGTTTAACATTAGCCGAATCATATACGTTAGCCGTTACACCAGCCATTTTCTATATTATTATTTGTTTAAAGACAAAAGTCAATACACAAATAGCTATTGGAGCGTTTATGACAGGTACGCTGCGACTACTCATTTTAGATCCATTCATTTATTATACTAATATTATTTTCTTAGCTGTTTATGCTCTTGTTATGTCGATGGTACTTGTTGCAACAGCTGCACAAATATTTAAAGCACAAGTATTAAGTCCAAGTGCTGTATTTTTACCAATTGTTGCTCTTGTGTTTATGGTCACTGGTTTACTTCATCCATCGGAAATATTAAATTTATTACATGGTTTTCTCTATTTGGTTACGTTACCAGGTGGCTACTTGTTTTTAGTTACTTATGCATTGTGCAACCTGCATGTTGTCTCGTGGGGAACTAGAGAAACAGAAACAGTAAAAAAGAAACCAATTCAACATGTTGAACAAATAGAAGGTTGGTATCTGGACGCGACATCTTGAATGAGAACAATTCATAGACTTACTCTTTAAGGAGAACATTTTTAAATCATGTATTGTCGAAGGAGAACAATTAGCCACCTTAATACATGCTAACGTATATGGTTTATATGCGAGATTCAATAGATATATTTATTCGAGCAGATAGACAAGAACTCAAACTAAATATTCAAGCATCAGCGTCCAAAACTTCGTCTTTTAAAAGATCATTTGATAAAGTATACAATATTCTATAACACGGTTTTAAGAAGACACATCAAAATACTCTTTAAAACCTATAGGCCCACACAAATATTGTTATTTAGCATGGATTATTTCATTTTCAACTTCTTCACAGCTACATCGCATTGGATTGACTACTATTGACGCACAACAATTTACTATTAATTCAATACACTTGAATAATCTATTTGATCATAACAACAGAAGCGATGTTAATCCTACAACTTAGTCAGTAAAATACCATGATTCAGCATCATCAGTCTTACGCGTACAGAGGCGAGAATCATCCATTTTATACAATAACGACTTATAGTCATCTTCATTAATATCTTCAGCAGCAAGTAGCAAAAGTGGTAATAAAACTTTTTGTATCTCAATAACGATAATGCTTTGCAAAATTCATGTCTTTTACAAGATTGAACGTGCACGATATTGACGATCTTAAAACCTTTTATTGTTTTGAATTGGTCTAAATATTTTCTTCAGCTTTCAGATCCTACTTTCCATTAGAATTAACACCCCACTTCACAGCTACAGTATTTTTTTTTCGTTTTTGCTCTTTAAGACGTTTCTTAATTAGCTTATATTATAATCTGTTATCTTCTACATTTATAATTGTTCTCCTTTGAAAGTAAATGTGAACAAAATGTTCTCCTTCAAGAGTGCATCATTTGAAATTGTTCTCGTTTGAGAAATCACCGTATTCGAATAGAAGTAGTGATAATTTGTAATAGTTACTTGTGTTTTTAGATGCCAAAAAAAAACGTAAATCAGATGTAATAGCTAATCTCTTTTGGGGAGGCAGTGATGGACAACAAGGACAAAAAGGTTTAATTTCTCATATTGGTGATGCATTTCAACAAATTTTTCGGCCAACAGCGAGAAAACAAGAATTACTTTTACAAAAAATTGTCGATAGATTAGACAACGTTAGTGACACAAAAGAAAAACAATCGGTTTTCAATAATAATATTCAGACACCGAATCGCTTAAATGGTAACTGTTACGTGCCATTTTATAATATCAAAAGTATAACTTTATTTTCTTTGTAGTTTCTACTACACCTGCAACTCCTCGTCAACAGGATGCAATGTCAGAAACAAATATGGTACCTACATCATCAATAGTATCAGAACCGTTATCGACTGGGGTACCTAATTCAACATTGTTAATAACTCGAAATTATATGTATAATCCATATTGGTCTGAATTACCGTGGCTAGGCTCAGGATCAATTGGTTTTTTGAATACCACTGAAATTACTTTTTGGAAACAATTATTAGAAAAATATTTATCACCATTAGATAAAGATCCTGAGGAAGAAAAACGTATTAAACGTAATTTAATTGATTTACGAAACAATGCCGGTTTTGCTTTCTTTATGTTGAATGCTCTATGGATTATCTCACAATTTCAATGTGAATATGTCTCAGGAAAATTTAGTGAATTTATGATTGATTTAGGTCGTGTATATAATCGTCCAGGACAAAAAGTGCAAGCATTAGGTTTATTATTTATGACATTTTTTTCTGCGTGCTTATTAGTCCAATTTTTAACAATGTTATTACATCGTTGGGGTACATTTATTGAAATTTTAGCTAGTACAAAATTATTTGAAAAACATCGAAAATATAAATTGAAACCGGGTACAAAATTAGATGGTATATCAACACAAGAAGCGGTTGATCTATTAAAAGAAATGGATGTTGAATTAGCTACACTTTCACCACCACCATCTTCAGCTCGTACCCTGATAGCTAATCCAAATGTACTTGAAATAACAGATCATCAAGAACAACACCAGCGGTCATTACCTCATCAAGAAAGTTATCGTCATCCATACAATAGTTACTTTGATGACGATGAAGAAGAATTTTTAAATGATGAAGATACAATTATTACTATACCACCACCAGATTATTTTGATCATCCAGCGGTTCAAGAAGCATCAACAACTCCTCGAAGATATAATCATGATGACTATTGAACATGAACAATATTTTTATTTTTGCAATAATTTTTTTAATATACTCCGTTTTTTTCTTAAATTTTATCTCTCTACTGGGATTTTAATTTCAAAAAAATAATTTATTTCAATAACTTATTCATTGTCTTTAAGAAACAGACCATTAATTTAAGAATATTCATCTAAGATTTTAAAGAGACTTATTGAGTTTGTAAAACTATTTACATAACAGCATAACAGAAGATGTGTAAAAATGTAAATTGGTTTGGTTGGACTTTCAGTGGGATTGTTATACTAAATTAAGTACACTTGAGATAAAGGTTATAGATTTATACTGGATGAACGAAATTTATGAAGCGTTTTTTGAACACCTTTAAAACAACACTATGAACAACGAGGTAGTATTGAAGTAGAGTATGTCGTCTACTCAAAAAAGATTGAAAACGTCATTCTCAGATGAATAAGTATTCTATTCATACACCGTATTATTACTCAACAACGAGAGATATTGATATTTCTCAGTGATATTTATACTCACTAGTTTTATTACCTTGACGAAGATCTTCTGTTGAGGTTTATTAAAGCAATCGATAATTATCTTAAATATTGAGGCAACGATGATCGACTTCTACTTGTAACAATATTTCTCTTCTAAATCGAGGATAGTCTAGAAGATACATGATAAACACGTTTTTGAATTAATAATGATCATCACTGCTGCTTTTTTTCACTTTTGATCTGTGTTTAATATAATGATCACTGTAACATATTTCTCGTATTCAATAACATACTGTAGATAATAATAAGTAATATTTACCAAAACAAATTGTTCGTGGTCAATGTACACTTGCTTAAAAACAGTTAGTCACAGCTATCTTCAACAACAATCTGAAGAAAATTGTATTCTTTTGAAAGTCATACTTCACCTATCTTTAAACCAAATTTCTACATAGAAATCAATTTCCATATGTTTTAAGCACATTTTGAACATCACCTTGTAGTAGTTGAATGGGTACGAGTGATAATGACACGGTGAATATATTGTTAGTTTCAAGATCCACTCAAATCAGTAAGAATTTCATCTAAAAAATCATCCAAAGACAGATGACGAACTTTGAAAATATTAAATTTATTTTAAAATTTCAAACTGATTTATTCATAACTCACTCTCTAAATGTATTGTTGAATGACGTATTTTTAAATGATCAACAATAATATTTTGATGAAATATGTGACAACTGAGAAACGTTTTTAATCAAAGTACATTACGTAATATCACTAAAGTAAATATCTAACGATAAATATTGATTTGTGAACAATATTTGATCTATATGTATCTGTCTTTCTATCTTTCGTTCCATTCCAGTTCACTACAATATCAGCGTATTAATGAGATTTATTTCATTATTTTTGCACGAAACATAAATTCAACCTTTAGCCGACGTACATCAACAAAAAGGTTTCCGAATAAAGTTCTCAAGAAACAAATTATTTGTTCTTCTACATGTTTCACATAAATAATCCTGACTAAATAATACTATGGAACCTTTATCGACACACACTCCTGTATATTTTAGATTATTATCGACTAGTCACTAGTTATATATTCAATTTCGGATAATTTACTTGCAAAAGTAAACATGTTTATCTTTAAATATTTTGCTCTTGCCTTCTGTTCTACAAACAATGTACGCATTTTTATATCTTAATTCGTACACCTTTATATTTTACTATACACCACTATTATAGTACAAAACTGATAAATATAACAAATCCGCAAATTAATGTGGTTTTGGCAAGGTATTTGCTTTTCTCTTTTATTGCTATTTGACGTCAAATATTCACGTTCTCTCTAATCTGAATTTAATTGCTCAATAATTTAATTATATGATTTTATGAAGGTCTTAATTGTGCTCGCACCTAATTCATGGTCGGCATTGTTTATAGTAAAAGAAACTTTATCATTGTATAGAGTTAATGTTCTGTTTTTATCAAAACCGACAAATAAATGAATAAATAAACGACATATATCTCTAGGTTTGTTTGTAACCTGATTATTCTCTCCATCTTCCCGTCTCTCTCCTCTCCCTCACACATACATACACACACACACACACACACATATAATAGACGTTTTATAATAATGTATCTACAAATACTTTATTAATGTGTATTGTCAATTCAAATTTATTCATGCATTGCGGTTTTCTCTTGTTGTGTCTTAGTGATACCGCAGTGATCTTTTTTAGTAAACTGTTTCCACTATTCTTACTATTTTAAAATACTTTTTTTTCAATATCTTTATAAGTCTATTACAACTAAACATCGTAACATGAGAAAGATGTTTTTCTTTAGGATAATCCCGTCGTGAAATAAAAATTTGAAATAAAAGAACATATCTGTACTTGAGACGAACGGTACAGATAGAAATGAAATGTGAAATGATAATGACCGCGTCACGCCTGACGATTTTGAAAACCATGAATGTGTGTATGTACTTACAATAAATTGATTGTGTTTAATAATGAAAAAAAAAAGAAATAGAAGAGAAAAGGAGACAATGAATAAAAAATTTGATAGAGAAAAAGTCTATGTCCTACATACATGTTTCATGATTCAGTTTTTATTGGATGATATGGACATTAGTCGATATGACGGTGAACTGTGATGAGAAGTTTTATCAATTTCGACTTTTATTTTTGATATAGAAGCAAAAAAAGAAATGAAACGATGATAGTTTTGTGACATCTCGGATGATATGAAGAGTAACTATGTATCACCAACATAAGTGTCTGTATTCATTGATTTATGTGTCTAGATTTCACATTATCTATTAAATTAAAAATGTATTTCTTCTCTATGCTCTATTTTTTAATGTCGATTCAAAAGTAGACTACCAATTTACTCTCATCATTAAAATCTCTTTAGATCTACATACATACGCATACACATACGCGTATTTTACATCAACTCAAAACAAATTCAACGCTACGTTTCTAGTTTGATACATCGTTCAATTAAAAAAGAGGTTAGTAAAAATTGTTTGTTTCGTTTTCTATTGAAAATTTAGTAACCTCAGTAAATGAGAGTTTGAGTGTGTCAAATGCATTAATTAATGTATCTAAATATCTTGTTACTTAGTTTTTCTCAAAAACTAGAGAAATTTCTCAATTTATTCAAAATAAAGTTAGCGTTAATTAATAGATTTTATTTTGATACTGAATACTATTGACATCTGAGTGCGTTTGATGCAGAAATATAGTACTTCTCCATAGCTATATTTGAAACTGAGCTATTCTTGATAGAAACTTATTTTAAACATTGTTTGCTGATCTATTTAAACGACTACAGTAAATTGTAACTAGTGTTAAAATAATAATTAAAATGATCCTTTTAATTATTATCTGTCATGTGCGTCTACCTGTTGCAAATATTTGACATAATTAGGCTGTAATGCGGTTTTATAAACAATTTATTGGTGTTATATCCAGTAAAAAATTAAAAGAGCATATCGTCATAGTTAATCATTGATCTATTCATATTACGGTTTTTTTGACCGTTGTTAATATTATTATTATTATTATTATTATTATTATTATTATTATTATTATTATTATTATTATTATTATTATTAGATTTTTATATCTCTGACTATATTTTATCTCATTGATTTATCACTTTACCTGTGATTATAACATTTTCCAAATGTTCTTATTTTAACCGCATACATGATGAAAATGATTTGGCAGGTGTCAATCATGAGCACGCTGTCAAATTAACCGCAAAATACACACACTTTTTTTAATGGGAAATGTTTGTTCATTAACTAGTTATTTGAGTGGATGTTAGATGACCACACAAATATACAGATGGATACTTTAATGTTACTCTGAATGTGAAGAAATAGATTATGTTATAGTAAGATCTCGAGTATTTGGTGAGTAATTGTGTAGAGAGAAAGACATATAGCGAGCATATTTATCAGTTATTGTAATATATGGATTTCACAGTCAGATATGTGACTTTTTAAGTGATATATTATTCAGTAGAATCAATAAGTTTAAATTTTTAATACAGGTGTAATTGTCATGCATGAAAAATGGATATTTCGTGTTTATACTTCTGCAGTATCTAGTTCAATCATTTCTGAGATTCTCTGTCCTTTTGAGATGTATTATTTGTGTTAATGCAGTATATTTTTGTGCTATGCTTCATATCTAAGGTTATATATGCATTGATCTGTCAAAACTATTAAAATAAATAACAGAAAAAAAATAGGCAAATATGTACAAAATAACTACTCCTAAATAGATAACTAATTTTATACTCTTTTAAATAGAAATTATGCCGTGATAAGCGGTTGATCAACCGAAACAAAGATTAGAATGTTTTGGTTAGCGATTGTCGTTTAATTTGATGTGAATAAATGTGAAATAAATGTGAATAAGTCCTTCACTTTTTCGTAGAAAACAATTTGATAAACTAAGAGATAAACATGTAAGTTTTTGAAAAAGTATTAATTTTTAAATATTTTAGAATAGTGATAAACTTTTTTCAATCAACATCTGAAAGACTTCTTAAAATACAAAAATACTGTATGATTCGAATCACCAATTGAGTTCACTTAGATATAAGCGTTCATCTATTTGAATTAAAGATAAATAGTTAGTTTATAATCCTAAAACTGGATAATCGTAAAACTCGAGAAAGTATTCATTGTTTATGTCTTTTATTTTGCAACAATGTGTTTATGTTGTAGTAGTTTAGATAAACAACCTATGATATGGTTAAGAGTGTTCTTACATAGTTTTTATAAAAAAAGAAGACACCCCCATTTTCTGTTTTACATCATCACATATCACTTTTATATTTGTCATTAAGATATACAAAGACTATAGCATTAACATCCTCGAAAAAAACCTACGAAATATATAGAAAAAAAATCTCTTTCACCCAATATTATTTCGAGGATACGCTTGAAGTGAAAAACCAACCATAGTGTTTTTAAACAATCATTTTCTTTTCTCTCTCTCTTCCTCTCCCTCTCTCTTGCTCTCTCTCTCTCTCTCTCTCTCTCTTTCCTGCCCAGGCTATAGACGTAAGCCAGTACACTATCTACCATCAACAATGCATTATCCCTTTCTGATCGGTGGTGTGTAGGAGAGAAAGAAAAGGTAAGTTAATTTTTACTTAAACCGGAATGGTGATATACGTTAATGATTTTGTGATTATGAAAAAAATTGGTTTAGTACGAAAAAACCGCAATAAAAGATTTTGTTTGGTCACGACATCAAGGATTGTTTGAGATCGAATAAATTTAATTCGAAGAGTCATATAAAGAGTACATCTGTCATTTAATTTCTTCGTGAAGAAAGATAGAAATCAAAAATTTCATTAATCTATCGTGTATGAAGATTTTAGACTATGTGCTGATATTGCAACAAAGAACTATTATTGCATGTACTTCATGTCTTTGAATGCTGTCTAGCTAAGTTAAATTATAAAAGTGTTTCTCGAGAACGACAACCTTGAATATACAATTAAACAAAAATTTAGAAAATAGTAATTGCACTCACTTTCAGATAAACTAAAAGCTCGTCCGAAATAATACTGGCTTGAAGATTATTTTTTGTTGCCGGAGTATCTGAACTCTTTTATTTCCATTTTCTCTCTCCAGATACATCTAACTAGGTTTTTCATATAAGATATCTGTAAAATGATCTCTCATATTTTTTGGATGGTTTTCTGACAATGAGATTTTTAGTCTGACTTCCTATTATCTTCTGAAGAAGATACTACTAGTAGATGCGCACTATAAATCAATGAGAAACCATACAATTTTCATCAGTCATGTATCGCTAACTGACCAACATGATATTTTAGATCATTGTTGAGTTTGTCTACAATAGTCAGACAACACCAAAACCAGCAGTAACATGATTGATCCACGATATGCTCAGTTCATGCCCTTTGGGCCAGTAAGTGGGTTTCAACAGCAAAATGGACGTATGGCACATAAAAAACATCGACGAAAACGACATGATGATTCGTCTCTTAGTCGAGATGAATCAATACACAAAGTTGGCAGAACACATCACCATTATCATAGTACACATGGTGGTGAGAACTTTTGTTAAAAATATTCTATAGTTGCACGGTGTTGTACGAGTGATTCTTGTTTTAGAAGATATAGTAGGGCACGGCCAACCATTTCATGGTGGCTACGGACAACAAGGCGGCTATGGACAGCAAGGCGGCTATGGACAGCAAGGTGGCTATGAACAGCAAGGTGGCTATGGACAGCAAGGTGGCTATGGACAGCAAGGCGGCTATGGACAACAAGGCGGCTATGGACAGCAAGGCGGCTATGGACAACAAGGCGGCTATGGACAACAAGGCGGCTACGGACAACAAGGCGGCTATGGACAACAAGGCGGCTATGCAAACGTGGGTGGTGGGGGCTTCCAGCAGCAGGGCTACGGATCCAATTATGCAGGATCAGGCCGTCGACATCATCGTCGCCATTCGCGACGTCAAGATGATACCCTGGGTGCACAGGCTCATGCAGCTGGTCAAGGTGTTGGAAGCACATCAAATTTGGGCGAACATCGTTCAGTGTCACGTTCATCTCAACTCGATGCACAACCAGGTGGTATAGAACAAGAATCAAAACATCATCACCACCAGCGACACCGTCAGTATGAACAATCAGATCACTCAACACGACATCATCAGCATCATTCGGGTGTTGCAGGAGGCTTTGGTCATATAAACGAAGATTTGATCTTTATCGAAAGAAGTGGTCAACAACAACGTCAAAAACCACCAAAAGGTTACGAATACAAGGGAAAAATTGAAATTCAAGGAGTGAACAAAGAATATCGAAGTCAATCACATGGTAGACAAACTCCCGTAATGCTCCCGCAGCCGATATCTATCCCTCAACCAGTACCTCAACCAGTACCTCAGCCGATTCCACGGCCGATGAATCCATGCCCGCCCGGATGGCAAATGATTATCACCGGAGGACCACCAGGTGCTCCGATAGCTCCCGTTCCAGTGGCAACTGGTGGATTTGGGCCAAGCGTTGGACTTGGTGGCGGTATAATGACTGGTGGAGCGGGTCTGGGAGGCATTGGACCAATGGGTGCATCAGGTTCCGGAGGTGGTTTGGCAAATTTAGCAGCTAGTTTACCGATACCACCACAAGGTCAGCTAATTGCCGACTATATTGTTGAACAGTCAGCGGGCTTAGGAGATACACGATATCCCCCGCCTAAACTTGTCATTGATGGAGCACAAGGAGGATCATCTTTGTAAGTTTTCTCTTCGAAATATTCCGCTTATATAAAAAAATCTAATGTTTAGTAACGAAGTTATTGAAGAAGTCTCCACAAGACCAACAATAATTGAAGTGTGGCAAAAAAGAACGAGAGCCGTAAGAACTACTTCATAAAAACTAAACTTACTTGAATATACAAATTATTTATGTTCAGCATTCGGCTAAATCATCTTCATCAAGTTCATCGCGATCGGGTTCAAGACCAGGATTAGATTTAGATAAATTTAGAAATGAAATTCTTGATGCCATCAGGTAGCATGTTGTATATTACGTGAAATTCAATTTTAAACTGTGTTTTTCTTTACAGACGAATATCTCATCACCAACCGGTTGGGCCAGGCCGGGAATCAATTAAATATCATTGGACTGGTCATGATGGAGGTGAAGTATTTGCATAAAATAATCAGTTTATTCAGTTATTCTTTAAATATGAATATGCAGAAGTTCATTGTTTACATTATTTACATACCACTTTTTACAGTATTTAATCGATTTTAGAAACTCAAACTGAAATACATGGCAATGAAATTGCATGGCGTACATATCAACGAGAAAAAGGAACACAATCGGAAGGGGGAACATCGACACCAGGCCCCATACAAACAGGTGGCGTTGTTGGTGGCGGTGGCGAAGTGAAAGTTATCGTTCAACCAATTCAACCTGTATTTTACATGCCTCGTGGCCCACAACAGCAACCAGGTCCCTCAGGTGTATCCTCAGGTGGAGCCCCGAACGTTGTCTATGTTCCACGCAATGTTTACGTTCCAGTCATTAAACCTGTGTTTGTTCCACGTGAACGTGAGTTTTATTTTTTGATAATTGTTGCTTAATAGTATATATTGAAATTAATTTTTTAGGAGTTATTGTTCGTCCTCAAATAATTCATGTTGCTCGACCAGTGTTAGTCGATCGTCCTGTACCAGTCACCCAACGTCCTATCATCATCGATCGTGAAAGACCTGTTCCTGTACCAATTCGTGCAGCAGCAAAAGTACAGTGTGGTCCTCAAGTGGTTCGTGAAGAGTATGTTTATCGAGATAATTTACCAGTTGCCTACGGTGGACGATGTGCAAATTATGCGGGTGGTTTAAGTTATGGCTATATGCCTACCCATGTTGATAATCAGTATGCAACATCAAACGAAGCCGTTTATCAAACACAAAGTGCACCACCAACTGTTATCGATATGGTTATACCAAATCAATTTCAACAGCAACAATATCCACAAAGTCATTCAGCATCCAGTGTAGAACAACAATTTCATCGATCTGGCTCTGGATTAAATCTTCCACATTGTGAATCATTTGGACCGGATCCCATTGGTCCACGTCCACCACAAATCGAAGTATTAGATACGGCCGTTAATCCATTTTGGCAAAAAACTGATCCACCCAATCTATTGTAAGCATATTTTAAGGTGATACAAACGTTTTAACACAATTATTTTTCTTTTAGACGACGTTATGGACGACCAGCATTTGACATTGTTGATAAAACAAATCAAGTGCAGGGTTTACAAATGTATTCAAATGGTGATGGTGGTGTTGGTATTCATCGTTCAAACTCTGCTGCCAGTCATGTATCTGGTCTTCAACGAAATGGATCATTTGGATCGATACCAATGGGTGATATCAGAAATTTACCACCAGAAGGCTTTGGGCCAGGACCAATTCCCGTTAGAATTAATTACTAATTTATTTATATATTGTTAATTATATGTTGTTGTTGTTTTATTTTATTTGTTTATCACGTGAAATGGATGGTTCTTCGAAAATACAAAATAGGATAGTGTAACTTATTTAAACAAAAACGGTTTTTATAATTTCTTTCTATTTTCTGATTCTTTTCTTCCAAATTAAGTTCAAACGAATGGCACATATCTACTTGGTATATCATATGAACATATATAATACATATATATATATATATATGCAAATAATAATATTGAGAAGTAAACAAACACTCAATAAAGGATCGATGATACATAGTTGAAGTTATGCGAGAGATTAATTCGTTAGAAAAAAATAAGTAAATATTTCTTTCGTTTAAATGTTATTCAACTGATTATATTAGAATAGAAGGATATAGAAGTTTCTTCTTCTGCTTCAGTTTTAGTTTCTGTTTTAAATTTCTTTTTTTTAGTAATTGAAATTCTTTCTCAATTTGTTCATAATTCATTGAACTTTTGTCATTTAATCTTTGATTTTTTCATGTTTTGTTTTAATTCATAAATAAATGAGCAAATTGACAGAAGAAGATTTCAAATAACAAGTATATGAAATATTTCTTAGCAGAGAAAAAACTATTGCTTTTTACTGTTAAATTACTGAATTCTATTACTTGATATGACTTCAATTACCAAGCGTCTAATCAATCAATAAAATATCTCCTACACAAATTATACTCTATTTCCAATTGAATTCACAAAATAAAACAAAAATAAAAATGAAAATGATTTTATATTGAGTAAATTCATCTTTTTTTCTTAACACAATTCATTGCCACATTCAATTCCACATGTTATATCAACATTTGTTAATTCACAGTCTTGCGGAAAAGTTAATAAACTACAAATTGGTTGCCAACAGATACCTAAATAAACAGTATTTAATACAAATATTTTATTCATGAACAAATATATTCACTGTTCAATAGTGATGTTGCTTCGACGTTACAACTACAACAAAATAAATTGAAAAATATACGATATAGAAAACGATTAATACTCACTAGGATGTATCACAAAAGACCCAGACAGAATGTCTTTCAACTATTAGCATATCAGCAGGCTGCAATGTCATAAATCCATGCTCCCAAGAACATCCACGATAAATTACTGAAACGAAATACAAAAATAATTATAGACGGTGTTTAGATGTTTTTTGTCGTCTTGCTACCCCCGTTATCATCCTGATTTAGTCTTGTATAACATTGACCATTGCATGGTGTCCCATCTAGCTTTAACGTTTCATTTACTTGCATTCCACATGCAGAATTTCGAGAATTACATTGATAACAATAACCGGCGGCCAGAAAAACTTCATGAAATTAAAACAAAAATTTATTTGATTTCTCAATAAAAATTCAAGGAATTTAAAGAATAAGGTCAAAAATTGAGAATTAATAGCTACCTTCATCCACCACCATGATTAATATTGTTACTAAAAAGATGATATCTGTAGTGGATAATTTCATTTTATTCTAAAATGGTTGAAAAAAGAAACAAGAATAATTAGATCACCTTGTGGTACATAATGACGACGACAGCAAAGGTATGATGATTTATTTCTTGATGATTTCTGTATATCAATAGGAAAAATGAAATGAATGAATTAAAAAGTATATTTTTACCCAGAATTGGGGCTGAAAGACAACATTTATCTTTGATTTGCTAGTATTATACGGTTAATAGACAGTAGTAGAAAATGAATTTATCGCATTGTTCAGTTGTCTCGTAAGCTTAAAAAAATAGAATAGAGATGCACTAAAAAGTCTATAAAATTTTACAGAAATATTCCACAGTTTTGCTTGTATCATATCTCAGATTCAAAAGATCTAACTAAAATTTTCACTGTAACTATAGAGGTCTTTCATATCATCGAATAAATGTTATTATCGATTGTGCAGTCAGTCAACATCATTCATTGTAAGATTTATTGCTCTATTGTATGCACTTGTACAAATTATTAGTAAATTAAGAACAGTGTTAACACTTCTCTTTTATATCGCTAAATATTTCCGTATTCCTATCAAATATGTTGTATAATAAAAATAATAATGATAACAATATGGCACAAGCTAGTTACACGTTCTCCTTTTTGCGCCTTGAAGCGCACGCACTATAAGATTATGTGACTAGATTATTATGATCAATGTCGATGTGCATGCATAGCTGTCAATATTTCTCATAGTAATACCTATTATCATTCTTTGTTAAAAGGTCAAACTAACGCGATATATCTACTGCCATGTTGAGAGATGATATCAAGTAAAAGTAGTCACACCAGCATCTTTTTCTTGTGTTTCTTTTTTTTTTCACCAATAAAGATGATAAAACTGTGAATAGATGGTATTCGTTCTAATATCTATTGTTATTATGCACATAGTTCTCAGCACTAACTGACAATCAACTGTATGAGATCAATACTGTTTCAATTCAAATGATGTCAATTTTAGAAGCACCGGTGATCATGCTCAGTGAGTTTCACACGGAAAGAAAGAAAATGGTTTCATTCGAGATGGAGGATGGACAAGAGTTAGAAGTAGAAAGGTGAGTATTAAAAATATATGTTTGTTTGTCGTCGTTATGGGATTCTGGAAGGAGCAAATTTCACCCAAAAAATGCTGAAAAGGAAAAAACTGACCTCCTTTATTGAAACAGATGCAGAATACATCTCTTCTTTTCTAAAGATCATAAAAAAGTAAACAATTCTACAACGCTCGTGATGAATGCTGAAATTTTTAACTGTCCTTGTTGTCGCACTTTTAGCGCGTAGTGGCATCCTCTATAGAGGTCCTCTTCCAACACATTAATCCGTTACACTCTGAAATGAGACTACCTAATATGATAAGCATGCAATAGTTCAAAATAAAAATACGCTGCATACTTCGATTCTTCAAGGGGACGAAATGGATCGGAATGGCCGCTGTCGTTCCAGTGTCATGACTACGGTAAAAGTTGGAAAATAGATTTTATTGCGATCAGATGGAAGCAACAATACTTTCACACAGAAGTGCTTTTCTTTTCGTAATCAAATGCTTAGTCCTCGTTTCCTTTCCAAAATCATTTAAAAGTAATACAGGAGGACTTAATAGACGAAATTTGTACCATTTGTCTATCGTAAGGAAGATAAAGAAGCTAACAGACTACTAATCTCAAACACTGTTGACACATCTTATTTCTTTCCAGAAAATGATCAATTTCTGTTGCGTAATGTTGTACTGTATCTATGAATGTCACCTGTAAAATTTGTACATTTATTTGAACAAACATGTACAAATTTTTTCGATGATAGACAGAATGGATCATTCTCGTTATACTTGTCAGCAATGAAGGCTATTATCTATCACGTTTTCCGTCAGTCCTTTAAGAATTTTTCTTTTATTCTTCAGTCTTATGGAACAACCCGTCTTCTTTTGATACTGTAATTAAATCTTAATATTAGCCAATTGGTAGAAGATTACGGTTTTTTTTCATTGTGGTGTTGACACATTCTTACTCACAATAACCAAGGTTGTGCAATACTTGCTTTCTTGAAAGAAGTAAAAACAATACTTGATCATTCTTCCAGAAAAATGTCCTGTAGCGTTGTAGATGAGTGAAAAACACTACAAAGAATAAATGATTCAAATTAATGATGGTAGTACCCGTGAATTTTAAACGAACATGATGCTATACGCAGGGGGTCGCATCACGAAAAAACTTAAGTTAAAGTCTAGACTTAAGTCCGACTTAAGTGTATAAAATTAGCACGTAAGTGCACATAACGAAGACTTAACTTTTTTGTGATACGGCTCCCAGGACCACAAATAGGAGCAGAACATTAGAGGGGTGTAAAACAAAATTTCTCTTTCAGGTAGTGTGAAATTGATAAAAAAAAATTTGTGCGAAGAATAATGGATAAAGTAACAACAGCTTTTTCAGTTATTGGGGAGGGGCCACCCTCCGTTATTTGCGGCCCTCGCTATATGCGGCAGTTTATTTAGCTTATTTTCATTTGAACTTAGTGAACCTTTTTTTAGGCTTTTGTTTTAAAACTTTATACGATATTCATTCTATCGTATGTCTGTTAATCATTGAGTTTTGTAGATGCTATGTGCATCATCGTGCAGTACAGTCTAAACCCAATAACTCGATTTGATGCACTAAAACTTGAGCTTCCACTTTTGTTGTTTTAGAGCAAATTTTTGCGATTAGTAATATAAACTGTTTTCTTGTATGCACATACACCAGTATTAAGGAGAAAACTGCGTGAATGTTATCCAAATGAGAGAAGAGAAAGACTGAATGCCTCGCACGACATGGGCATGCAGGTCATTTATCGATTTTTCCTTGAACAACATGTGCTAAGTTAATCATTAAGGACAGCGCCATGTGCTCTGTACAATCTCTCGAAAATCGGGATTTTCATCTCTCCCTTCATTCAACTACTTTATCTCTCCCTGGCTATGTTTTATTTCCTCTTCCTTTTTTTTCTTCTGCTTCTAAATAGTAATTTTCTCCATTTCTTACGACTTGCTACATCTGCAAGTGGCATCAAACTCTTTCTTATTTTTGTTTATAGCGTAAAAGAACAGAATTGATTGCATTTATTTGTCTATTTTCTAAAATGAATTTTGTTTTGTTAAAAATTTTTTTTCATCATCTGTAAATTTTGGTGAATATTACTCTCACGAAAGATTTTCACAATATTCTAGGCGAGCTCAATTTGTTAGGAGGTTGCAGAGGCGCTAACAGGGATTCTAAGTAAGAAATCATGTTTCAAGATGGAATAAGATTTAGCCGATACTTGTAAGTTATTTTGAACATACGTCAGTTTTTCTTTAAAGTGTAGTAGAGTGTATCTACGAATTAATGCCATTACATTATGAGTAATTTAAGCTACGGAAGTATACTATACATCTAATATCTCTCCAATGTTAATTTGACGCATCAGTAATTCTGCTTAATCAAACAGTCTAAGTTGATAAGGCACGAGCTATGATAATCTAGTATAAGACATCTAATACTCGATGCCCCATTCAGCAAAATTTAGTTATTTGGACAGTCCTATATCACCTTAGTGACTGAAAAGAACACTGTATTCTACTGAAAATGAAACTAATTGACAATCTTTCATAATTATATTGTGTATTATTGCACTCTTGTAATATCTTATGTTCTTGTTTTTGCTTATATAATTTTTTATTTCACCCTATACATTAGTCTTCACAGAATGTTTTCTTTCATTCTGCCTATGTTTTTTCCTTTTATTTTTTGTTGTGTACATATAGAGAGAGAGAATGAGAACGAGCAGTGGTTATAGTTTATACGTGTGTATCGTCTCATACAAACAATTGCGCATAGCGCAAATTTTTTTCGAATAATAATAATTATCATCATCAATATCGTAATTTGTAGACTACTATTATTTTTCCTCTGTAAGTTGTATTATGAAAGACTGCGTGCCGCAGTATCCACCTTACGCTACTTATCCATATCATCATCATCAACATCCTTATCAGTATTGGCAATATGAGAGTATTGGGCCTAATTCACCTTCACTGTCATCTTCGTCACATCAAACAGACAATAGATCGCCAAATCGAAATCCCTATCATAATGGAAGGCCGATAACAAATGGGTAAGTATGAATTTATTTTTATTTCGAGAGAATAGAAGGGTAAAGTAATGTATGAGGCCCACCAACATTATTTTTTCAAGAACTCGCATGATATTTACTGTATACGTTTGTTTACTTGATACAAATATTTCTGCTTTCTTTCTCGATCATAAATAAAAAACACTACTAAGAATAGCAAAAAAGGAGAGATGTCATACATTGTACGAATCGTAGAAAAAAGAGAGATGATTTGACTTCTTATTCTATAACTTTTGTTTATATGAGAAAAACAATATTCGATAAACCTAAGTTCACGTGGTATTAATTCTAATAAATTTAGGACGCGATTAAGAACCCTTCAAGGTCACAATCGATGCAATTATTGATAAAAATAATTTTGGAATTTTGCACTTCAAAAAATTATTTGGTCTCGTCAATATGTTGTAATTATTTGAATAGAATTCACTCATTTAACACTAATATACTCGTCTCAGTTACTACAGTAACACTAAAAAACACAACTTATCGTAATTTTCTTTCAAGTTCATAGAAGAGCACGTTACGAGATTACTAAAACTTCATTGATTTCTTTAACATGACAAAATACATTTTTATATATAAATTGTATGAGTAGTATTCTAATTGACTTTTAATCGAAGCTCAAGGCTGTAGCTGTAATATAGTCTAATATGACATAAAGTGAATGAGTATCAAATACTAAGAAATTTAAAAAAAAGAAAATCATTTTTTAGACATTTTTGCGAACTTCTCAATTATTTATTATTTATTACGAGAGGATGAATGCTTAGTGAATGTTCCCATATGTCCAATTTGAGAAAAATGATTATTCATTGTTGATAGTTATTAGTTATAAATTTAAACATGTTTCACTCTCTGCACATAGCCAATAGCAATGTTTTTTCATTTTTTTTTTTCTATTTTTCGTACGGATCGTTGTCTGTTACATATGTATTTTCTCTCTCTCTCTTTTTCTCAATATACTGGGAAAAACTTACCGATCGATGATAAATGATATTTATGTGCTACCATTTATGCAACAAAGTTACAGAAGAAGAAGAAGAAGAAGACATCAATGAATAAATCATAACAAATATATTACTTACGTGTACACAGTTATAGTTGTGCTACTTTGATAGTAACAAATGCATCTTGACTGACTCTTTCGCCTGAACATACCTGTGTTAAGCCGTTGATTGAGCTTTATTTGTACTGAAGGTTAATAAATTTATATTATTAAATATAAAAAAGTAGGAGAATTATGCATAGACATACATTTAACAAGTTAACTGTAATACAATCAAGGTTAATCGTATAATTTGAACAAAAATTATAGTCATCATCATCATCATCATCAGCTTTTATGAAAAATATATAAATTGAATTGTCCACCACTTATTATACCGAGATAAAAAATAGTTATGAGATCTATTCCTTAAGAGAGAAAAAAGAAACTATCCCAATTTTGAAGGTTTTAGATGTTTATTGCTTGTTTTAACAACACTTGACTAGGCCGATGTTTGTTTCCTCAGTTCAGCTGATTTAGAAAACGATAATCTATAAATTGATAAGTAATTAAGCCTCAGCACATTTGGTATATACTTGAGATCCCATGTGTAATTTTTTTTTAATATGATTAGTAACTAAAGTTTTTGATTTACATCATCGTTTTTGACGTGAATAACAGAAGAGATGTTTGCAGTGAGCCATACACATAATTATTTAAGCACACATTTAAGAGCACATTGAAGAATAAAGAAGGAAAGAGAAATGTATATCACAACATAAACAAATAAATATAATAGTAGTTGCGTTTTTTTTTTTCTTCTTCTGTACTTGTCACATTACCAAATAGTTGTGTCGAGGTCGAATTCTCTATAAACAATTTCATAGCGTAAATTCATTACTCCTTTTCACCTTCTGTTATTGTAACGCAACTTTTTAGTTATTTTTTTTTTTTTTATTATTATGCTCATGTTTTCTTTTACTCTTTTCGTTTTTATATATTCCCGTGTACCTGTATATCTTTGACTTTCAAAAAAGGCACAATTTTTTCGATATAGATGGTAATAAGAAACCTTAGAATTATGGTGTTATTGAAATCGAAATACTCTCAATAAAAAAACAAATGTGTCATAAACAGTTGTTATTTAAGTGTTAATTAAGCTTGTTATAGGGAGAATTTGTGCGACTGTTTGCTTGGCTGAGTACATGGTTTTATGACTAAATAATTATGATATGGATATGTATTTGTAATACTCTTGTATAATATCAGAATGACGTTTATGTGATGAATTTTCGTTTTTTTTGGGGAGGGGAGGGAGGTTATATAATAGAACTTGCGCATATAGTATGGGTAGCAGTCTATAACAAAAATGAGAAACGATAGGTTATAGAAAGACAGAACAGTAGACAATTGTTATTATAATTTTTTAAAAGTTCAAAGAAGAGAAAAGTGTTTAGAAGCCGTTATAAGCAAAAAATAAATGTCTCTCGTCATTTTTACTTTGAACAAGCACTAGGTTTATGATAGTCAATCAAGAAAAAAAAGAATAACATATGAGTTTCTTTTTCAGATACTGTATCAAGGTTTCTTTTTATACAAAACGGAAATCATTCATCATTAGATCGACTGAATGAAGCCAAAAGACCCTTATTGTTTTTCAACTAGAAAAAAGTTCTTTCCACGCTATATTTGTTCTTCTTGATTATACGCGATCATACAGACTCAGATTAAAGATGGTTCAAATTTTCATATCTGAAGTTACTATTTTTTGTTATGTGCTTTAATTCGTCGATAATTAGTCGTGAAAACTGAGCATATTCAAGCCGAAACATTGAATATAGAGAGATAAAAAAATGTCCCGTTGGAGATAGTATGAATTTGAAGAAAAATTATCGTGTTTCCTACATCTAATACTATTTTATCAATAACAACTTTTCATACTGTTACAATAAAGTTTATAAGTCTAAATAGAACAACAGAAAAACAAAATTAAAGGATAGAAGAAAAGAAACGTCTCTACTCAAAATCGAACCGCTTCTCTCTTGATTCAAGTTCAATTCTTCTATCTTTCATTTTGTCTACAATTTTAGCTAAAATCAAACAAATTGAATTTATCCAGTTGATCATTTTTATCAAGCATAATATTAAATAAAAATCATTCATTTGGCAATGATTATTTCTTTATCACTTTTAGTTTAGAAAATGATCGTTCATTCATAACAATTGATAAATGTAAAATTTTTATGAGATATTTGAAAAAAACTATATGTTCTCTTGAATAAAGATTATGTGTTCTCATTACATTCATAGAAATATTTTATACCATAACAATGCATAATATTTCAACGGGAGCAAGGTTGATACTTCGTTTCTAAACGTCATTTAGTATGTTGAACATATTTTCAAAAATTTTACCACTAATGATCAACTATTAAATTAGATAGTTACCTTCTAGTATTGTATTTATTCTCTAGAACTTTTCTTGTATTTAATTATCGTTAGACACTCTAAACAATAAAAATATCTCAATCGAGCGGAGAAAATAATTATTTGTTGACAAAATCAACTGAACTCTGTTTCCACACATTTGATCTCATCTAATTATGAGATGTAAACCTTTTTTACTGACCTTTTTAATCATATATATTTACTCCTTTTACTGATGAATACATGCGTTTATTATTATTCTCACTTCTATTTATGTGAAACATGTATGAGAATATATTTTCCATTGGCTAAACGAGAGATGGTTAATTTATCAAAATGTCAGATTCACTTTGGATTTATTCTGATGTTAATCCTTTTTTTTCTGTTACTACTTATCTCAAATTAGTGATAATAATTTTGTTAATCATATTTTCTAATTTTTTCTCATCTTTTTTGGTTATTTGGAAACAGCGATCGAATTCAGAGATTGGTAACTCCGACTAAGTTCGACTCCAACTCAACTCCAACTCCGCTTCAACTCCTATAGGAACTTATTTTATCCTGATTCATTTTTCTTCTTTATTTTATTAGCAGTTGTTTATTTCGTTTTTGTTTACGAGAATACACACAAAAAAAGTCATTTTAATAATTCAATAAAAAAAAAGGAAAAAATTGTCCGACTTAAAAAAATTTTCAACTGGAGCTGTGGAGTTAAAGTTGAAAAAAAATCTAAACTCAACTCAACCCTAATCTAATAAAAACACAACTTCAACTCTACTAAAACGAAGCTCAACTCTGAAGTTGAAGTTGCCCATCTCTGACCGAATCTGAAAAATAAAATATTAAATAATAAACACTGGAATAGTTTGTGGCTATTAAAATATAGAACTATACCTTAATCGTTTTTTCAGATATTATCACCGTTGATATATCGATTATTAATGCACTTTAAATATTAGATTATGTAATTGATTCGTGCTGTCAACAGAATAAAACTGATCACTTGTCAACAAGGAATAGTTCAAAACTAGTGCCAATTTTTTGCTTTTACTTAGTTGAAACTTGTATCTTTCGCGCAATATCCGTCTATTCTCGCTTTTTGTTGAGCTTCAGTTCTTTTTTCTTCAACTGAGTTAATTAATTAGAAAAAATCCTTGTTATGCCAAACTTAAAAAATACATTAAACACTTCTTCGTGTAGATGGTTTTGATTAACACTAATAAATAAAATAAATCTATTTAAGTCAAAATGAATTAAAGAGGTGAAAGTGTTAAATAAAAATATTTTGAAATAAAAAGAAAACAAGGTGTTTATTCTATCATGTTTGATTTAGGATTGCCATTTTTTTTCACTTTTCCGCCTAAATTAAGAATACGATGGGGTTCAACATTATCATGTTCAAAAAATGTATAATTATTTATAAATCAATTTAACTTTATTAAAAATAATAAGATCAAAAAATATATTTATTTAAAAATAATAATTTGTTGAATAGTTTATTTTTTCTGTTGTGTCTCTCTTTTTTCATTATTTTTTGTCAAGAATGAATCGGGGATGTGAGAAAATGTTTACACTATTTACTCTTATAAACGTGTTGAAAAGCGAAAAAAATGCTTTTTCAATTACCCCCTCCCCTTCCACCGCTTTTTTCGACCTTCTAAAGATGATTCATCACATCTTATTGATTATTTCCTTTTTTTGTTCTTAGTGGATCTCACGTTCAATATGCTGAAGATGACGACGATGACGAGGATGATGGTCCACGTCCTTTCGATAGGTAATAGTCATTGAAATGATAAGTACTATATTTGAATATATGATCAAATCGACTCGTTTATTTTAGAAAAATGTTTATTGGTGGACTTAGTTGGCAGACTACACCAGGTAAATAAATTTTATTTTTTTCTTCTTGAATTTTCCGGTTTATATACATTATTTATTAAACAGATATTATTTATCTACTTTTTAGAGAATTTAAAAACATATTTTCAACAGTACGGTGAAGTATTAGAATGCATGATTATGAAAGATGCCATTACAAAACGATCGAGGTATGTAACATAATTTTTAAAAGTTATTTTAACATTCTACTATAAATAAAATAGAAAAAAAGAGATTTTTTAATAGTAATCATGTTTTTAAATTAATAATCGAGTCTGATACTTACTGTTTGGATAGTCACAAATCTCTTTTCAAGTAATTTATATTTTTATTGTTGACTGGTTTAGAGGATTTGGATTTATTACATTCAAAGATGCAACAGCAGTGGACAAAGTATTGGCAAAAGAACAACATATGTTGGATGAAAAACAGGTAAATAAACAAAAGTTTTTCTCTCTCCTCTCATTAATACAGAAGTTACTAATGTTTATACTTTTGAAAAACGAAGATCTTCTATTCTAAAATATGAAATTAATAATTGATTTTTAATGATTTTAATTTAATCATTTTTTTATTTTTTGTTCTTATAAAAATGTCAAACATTAGACGTCACTGTGTGTCATAAAATGTAATATTTTATCATCAAATGTTTTATGATTATCATTATTAATCGTTCGAGATTGAAATATTGATTGACTATCAGAAAAATGAACATTTAGAACTTTCTTTGTTTGTTTTTGTTGTTGTTGTTCATTATTACTTGTTTTTAACACTTTAAACAAGTAAACAAGTGTACCCCAAAAAAATATACAAAATAATAGAAGACTTAAACATCCAATAATTAAATAGGGTGCCAAATATTTTTTTGACATATTTGTATTAGCCAATGTAAACATCCATATCGTGATGGTTAATGCAATAAAAGAAAATACTATAAACATAAATGAAAAACGACATTGTTCATTACGAAAATTATTTAATTCATTGTTGTTGTTATTGTTATTATTGTTCTCAAAATGATATTGATACATTATATAATCCCACGTATTGTTTGTCATAGAAAATTGATTTATACATTGAATTCATCCATAATAAATAATAATACTAATAATAAACTATTTCTAAATATTGATCTAACGTATTAAGACAAAATTCAATTTGAATTATGATATGATCTTTATACTTAATGAATAATAACTAAAAGTTTGTAGATTTCTATTATCCTTGAAATAATATGAATGTAGATAAAATGAGTATTTGAATGTTGAATAATTCATAATAGATTAGAATTTTATTGTCATGAAAAATATGATAGATACTAGTCTAATATTGAAAATAATACAGTAGATAACAAACTGAATACAATTCTAAAACCATATTATTGAAAAACGGGCGACACTTACATCATATATTATCTATTGAAATTTGTTTTTATTTTTATGAACTTAAAAATTGTTTACAATAAAGTCTTTAATCAAATTTTTTTCTCTCTTTTCTATATATATGTTTCTTCTTTCTTTTTTTATATTATTGATCAACTAACTAACACCAAATATATTTATCATACTTGAATAACAAAAAAATTTTCCTTATGTATAAGTGTTTAGTTCAATTGCTAACTCTTTTTTTTTTTCATCTTTCTCTGTATGTTATTATCGTCTTAAATCATTCGTGTGTATAAGAAAGTCATTTTTTCTTTTAGAATTTTTTTTTTTTTTTGGTGTATATGTATGTGTATGTGTATGTGTGTGTGTCATTTAATCAGCAGTAATAACAAGAAATAAGAAAAATAATAATCGAAAACACTTATGCTGTGTTTTATTTAGTTTTAGAAAGATTTTATTTTTGTGTCTATATGAATAGATGTTTCCTTCTTTTCCTTCTTCTTATTTTATTTTATGTTCACCCAAAATTCTCTTATATTATTTTGATGATTTGTTTTTATATGTCATTTCTATATTGTTTAAAATAAGATGTAGGAAGAAGAAAAACAAAATAACAACAACAACAATAAAAAGTCACACATTAATATTTTCTCTACCAAAAAATTTGTTCACTTGTTGAAGTGAGATCGATACTAATTCTTCTTGTCTTCAATTTGCCACATTTGTTTAATATCCATCGAGAATTTAAATAAAAATCCCCATCAGTTTAACATTCACAAGGTCACATTTGAAATTAATATAATTTATCTTTTTAACTTAAAAATATTGATCAATAAATAACTCGCAATTATGTATTATTCTAAATGACAGTTTGACATGAAAAATTGCTGAATAATTTGAAAAAAATAGAAATTTCTATTTTTCGATCTATATTTACCTATCTCTATAATGTGTTTCTTTTTTTTATGACAACTCATCGATTGTATATTGTTGTTTTTCTTTTTGTTTTATAATTGATTCAAGAATGAGATGAACAATGTCTGTTCACTACTAGATCGTTTTCTTTGTAATAGTTTTCTCTCTTTTTTTTTTTTTGTTTCTTTTCGTTCTTCTGTTGTTCTGATCTCATAATCTTTCATATAATTGAGATATTTGACACACACACACAGAGTTTAGTACAATATAATAGTTTTATGAGTAGAAAAATGACGGGTAAAAATATGGTAAAAATTTGAGTAGATACTAGATAAGAGCAAAAAGTTCTGATTAACGATCTATAGACGATTCTCATTTGACTATTCTTCTAATAGTAATAAAGAAGAAAACAAATTAATAACAAAAATTTGTATTTGTACTTAATTATTTTGGACATTCTCAAATTATCACTAATATCCTCTTTTTTTTTTCCTGTTTATTCAAGGGTATTTCTATTTGGAAATAAATTCTCACGATTAATAGATGAGTATTTTGTTATACGAAATAGAATCGATTTTTACTGATATTTTATCGTTTTTAACTAGCTTTAATTCAAGTTTTGTCGATCATTTCTATTTCGAATTGTTCCAACTGTTATTATTCTATCTCTAATTGCTGTTGTTGTTCTTATTTTAAATTATACACTGTCAACTCTATATTGTTTTTTAATCGACAATATTTTTAATTGTATAATATGTTATCTATATGAAAATAATAATCGATAGTATTATTATAATACTTGCATTTATGATTAGTGCCGTTTTACTGCTACGATTATCAAATACATGTGTTTGATCGAAAATTATTAGTTAATATTTTAAATTTTGTAAATTATTTTATTAAATAGTTAAGATAGTTTTCTTTTCGTTACAAAACTGTGTAAAATATTGGGCTTTCTTGAATGTAAAAAAATTAAAATAATCAAAAAAGTTTCTCTTAAAGTAGATAGAAATGGAGAACTTTTAGACGTTTATAACGTTTTTTTGACTCAGTTGAAAAACATTAAATAAGTAAAAGATCTTTGACAAAGATAAAGTGTATTAGAAAAACAAGGAATGAAATTAATTTTTCTTTCTTTCACTTGTACATAATTTGTGTAGATTAAATGAGCGAGTTGAAACAAAAGTTTGACTGTCTTGTAATTTTATTCGTTTTTCCTCATAATTTGTTTCATTCATGTATATGTTACAGTGGAAATTAAAATTTGAATCTCCATTATAGTGGGATTGTAAATTCTACTAGGCAATAATGACTAACATTCCTATTTCAATCTCCACTATAGTAGAAATTATAATTTGACTGACATAATGCTGATAGTAAAAAGAATATCTTTTTTGTTATTGAAAATGTTATTAACAATCACACAAATAGTTTTTCAATAACATTAGGTATTTGAATACACTTTTTTTTGAGGTGATATTTTGTACAACATTTCACGCCTTTAGCTGGGCATGGACAAATTTTTATTCCACAGTCTCGTTTACAATTGCACGCTTCCACAATTGTATTTCCACCTGTACTAGTGTAACTTTTACAAGCTTGGATGAATGTAATAACTGGTAAACATTTGTAATCAATAGTACGCAAAGCGGCAGAATTGCACTTGGACAAGTCTAATAAATCATGGATACAAAAAGTGACTGACAACACACCTGTCAATGTACACACTTTCTACAACACTATATCATCCGACGTTGATTGAATAGATACCACTTTACATGGTAAAAATAATATTTTCAATAAAAAAAGGATATTCATTTTACTATCAGCATCATGTCAGTCAAATTATAATTTCTACTATAGTGGAGATTGAAATAGGAGTGTTAGTCATTATTGCCTAGTGGAATTTAAAATCTCATTCTAATGGAGATTTAAATTTTATTCTCCACTGGTTGAAATTGTAATTTTTACTGTAACATATATAAGCATGAAATATGGTAACAATTCTAATTTTACAGAAATAGTTATTCATTTGATGAAGTAACCATATCATATCGGTTAAAGAAAAACAAAGCGATGCGTAATAATGTTATTTTTGTGAGCAGAGATGTTTCAGAAATGATAGATATGGCTTCGTTGGAATATTTATTATCTTTACTCTCTTTATTTATTGTAAAATGTTATCGTTCCTCTAATTTGTTAGAGTTATGGTTATAAAAGTGTTAATTATAGGATGATTGGTTTTCTTATCATTGTTTTGTATTGTTCATTAAAATTTGAACCTTTAATATTGTATTGAAAAACAAATTTCCTTTTATATAAATGTACGCCTATATAGTAAGTAAGTATAGTAATGAAATGACAACTGTATCGATATGTCGTTCAGTAATAGTAATATCTACAGATCTGAACCCGCTTACACAAAAACATTAACGTCTAGAAAAAGTTCTAAGTAACTATGTATGTGGAATAAATAGTTTATAAAAAGTTGACTAATCAAATGCATTGTTCACTTTTTAATTGTAGAAATTTCTTTCTACAGTTTATTAAATATTATAATCTCTTAGGCAAGAATCTTCGATTATTGAATGAGATAGAATAAATTGAGTTAGTTTCATTTAAATAGTCGATAGAAATAATGAGGTAATGAAGTACAGAACTGCTATAAACATGATTAACTAATCATAATGTATTTATTTCATTGATATTTCGACAGAATCCACTGTCATCATCAGAATG